AAAACAGGTGTAAGTTATTTAAAATAATCATTTATGCAGGTCTGTTTTGTTTTTGGTTTCACTTTTTGAACAATGTTTTCTAGATTTTGTAACTTCTCAAAATGTTACTCAGCTCCCTCATGATTTGTAAAAAAATTTCGTAACACATTTATTGCATTGGAAATTTCCACATGGGTTATAGCTACAGTCTCAGGATCACTGTCATTGTCCTCACTGTCCACAACTTGTGAAACAATTTCAGAAATTGTAGCTTGTTCGTTGGCTGCAATATTTTCCTAGAACTCGAGAGGGGTAATTGCCTTGTAAGGAAGTTAAATAGGCTTTTCTCGCGTTAGATAAAAATGACCTTATAAGCGATAACGAATTTTAAAACTTGAAAATATATCGGATAATCTGTATCAAAGAATTCCTATTCAGTGAACCAGGACTTTGGAAATGTGATCTTACATGCGGGGTGACCTTATATGCGGATGACCTAATATCGAGGTCTGACTGTAACACTGCTAAAAGGTTATCATTTAAAAAAGAGAAGAAAAAAAATTGGAATCACTTCATTATTTTTTGATAACAGGCTGAACTGCAAAAAGAAACAATGAATGCATGTTTAAAAAAGTTTTATTTTTATACAACGCGAAAAAAACTATTCAAAATTTTATTTTGAAATGAAACAGTAAAATTCTTTCCATGGACTGAATTTAAGTATAAAAGTAATAACTTCCAAAACAGTAATAATTCTTGCTTGCTCTGACTTAATCCACAATGCTTCTTGACACAACATAATTATCTCACTTTTTTTTCTTCTTTTAGAGTAAACAAAGGGAACACCACACAGAAAAAGGAAGAGTTTGTGGAAAACAATTAAATAATAAACCCTCCCAGACTGCCAGTTAAAGAGAGAGGCACTGATAAGTCTCTATAGTTATTATTTTACAAACTGTGTGTGAAATATTTATACAAATATATTATGTAATATCACTGTGGGAGACTGCACATCTCGCAAGCTGTGGCCTGAGGTTGGTTGAGGAAAGTACAGAAACGACAGATCCATAACGAACTGTCAGCGTTGGCCGCCGACGTGGGCGTTTCCATCGGACTGTAAGAGTTTTCCGAACCTGAAAAGAACATTTGATATCAATTTGAGACAGGATAAAATGAATTGAGACAGGGTCGATGGATTTAGTACACATAAGACATGCATGCTATGATAAGAATTATTTAAACTAGCATTTAATTCAAGATGACCGAAAGAACTCATGAAAAAAAAAATACTTTTTCCTAATTTTTTGAGATTTCATTCCATTTATTTACTCTCCAGATTTTATTGAATACCCATATGAAAACTTTACCACGAGCTTTATGATTCTTTAAAAAAACGAGTGTGATTCCATTTTTGAAATCAGATCGAGCATAGTTCATCTCAAATGTATACCAATACACATATAAATACATATCATTAGAAAATAAACAGAAATAAAATGGTAGAAATATGGTGAAAATTATGTATAAAAGTAACGAGCATGAATATATACGGGTCCACTCTAAATTCAACATTAAATATATTAGTACATCATTAATTTTATTTAATATTTCACAACCGTCGTCGAACAGCCGACCCAATTTTGGGTATACAACTACCAATGTTCAAGTCTGAAGTCTTGCAATTTTGGACCTAATCCAGAGGACAACAGAACTCCGGTATCAAGTATTGGGAGATATTTGTCTTTGTGGAGGGCTTTTAGATAGAACTAACTCGCATTTGTGTTACATGGGAAGGAAAGCCAAGAAAACCTCCCAAGGTTAGCCTGACGGCAAGGGTACTCTCTAACCCTTGATTCGTCTACCACTGAGGATATTTTACGTCAGGGCAGTGGTTGATGCGGAATTCGTATCGACCAGACGTCTGCAGAATTCGAACTCGGTTCACCTCATTGGAAAGAGAACACTCTATCCCCTGAGCCAACAAGGGTCGTACACCATTTATGACATTTTTATGCTTGATGATCACAACATATCAATTTATGATATGCATTTATTACAGTTGCAACTTCAGGATAGGCTGATAATCTGCCAAATAGGATGAAGAAGATTTCTGTGCACTTGAGTATGTGAAGAGCAGAAACTTCACTCCTACACAATGCCATGATAAACATAATAAATGGGAAGCGATCATTCTCTAACTTGACAAACATTGGAAGCTGTTGGTGATCACATGGACCCCTCAAATTTATTTCATGATTGTCTCAGACAAGTAGACTTCCAATGATATCGATTACTGCAACATTTTTTCAAAGCATCTAATAGATAGATGAACTGTAAATCATTTAGTGTCATTTAAAAACACAGCATTTAAATGAAAAGATAAGGCAAGAAGAAAGACGTATTTGAATTTGTAACTATTATCAAACTAAATTTATCATCAAATCTATGTGTCTAGCCTCTAATTCTTAATAATTACAGAAACAAACATTTTAGTTTTAAAAAAAAATCTCTAAATCCCGTTTCAAATTTCAATTAAAAGTTTTGAAATGTCATCATCATACAAACCTTGGCTGTCCAGTAGCTGTTCGGCCGTTGCCCAGGGCACACGCTTAGACCATTCATTGGCTTTTTCCTTATCTTTAGTTTTTATAGCTATCAATAGATCACCCAGATCATCCTACAAAGATTAAAACAAAAAGTCATAATGAGTGCACTGCAAGCTTCCAATAAATCTTATTGATACAGAATATCATAAAACACAGAAAAATTTGTAATCATTAATTCTAAGATAGAATAGCTTGCCTTAACCTTGGTCAAGCACCCAGCTCCATTTTTAGGACTATCTCTTAACGACCATTGCCACATAATAAACATCATGTTCAGGCGAATTTGGACCACACTTGACCTGTCTATAGACTCTCTCTGAACTTCCACTCCATAGTCAACAAAAGGACTTCGAGCCATGACAAATTAAATGCATACTATGCTGTGTACGCACGCCAGTCGTTCAGTCGGCTGCCCGAATAGGACTTAAAACTCTCAGCTCTCCAATAGGCGGTGAGCTTGTGCTACCGGAGCGCTACCAAATTGTATCGGAGTAAATTGCTCTTGTGTAATATTATGATGAGTTATATATCATAACAAAGTGGGAACAAACATTCAGAAGTAAAAAAATTCTCTGCCTTTAGCCTGATATTTTCAGACAGACTATTACATTTCCCTGATTTTTATAGCCAATGATAAGATGGTTTTATTTAGTTAATGCAAATAGATTTTTTTAAATTTTTTTTATTTAACATTTAAGTTATATCTTATTTTTAAATACATAATACATGATTAGTACTAAGCATTAATATATAGTACAAGTGTTTATACAATATAATTAACAAAATTATCTGACTTTACCCTGATATTTTCAGGCTGACTTTATTAAATTTCCCTGATTTTTATAGCCAATGATAAGATGGTTTTATTTAGATAATGCTAATAGAATTTTTAAATTTTTTTTTAATTTAACATTTCTGTTATACATTATTTTCAAACACAAAATACATGATTAGTACAAAGCATTAATATATAGCATTAGTGTTTATACAACATAATTAACACTTAAAATGACATTTTTCATATTTCTTTTTTTTAAAAAATAGAATAAACTTTTAGGTATTTTAAACTTGAATTAATTAATTTTCTTCAACTTTCAGTTAAACTCCCTGAGTGTTCCATGAATTTTCCGGATAAATAAAATTATCTTGACTCTTCCAAATTCCCTGGAAATGTAAAAAACTATTTTTTGGTAATTTTGCATTTTTATTTTTTGTTTCACATACTTCATTTTGGAGTCATTATTTTAAGACCATTCAATATTTTTCTGTTTTTATATTCCAGGAAAATTTCTCATTTTTACTTTGACAAAATCATCTAGCACTTTTTCGATATAGATGTGCGTAGGCAAACTATAACTTCAGTAGATTATTTATCAATAGGTATTTATCCCTACCATTGGTTAATATTCGAAATCAAAGTATTTATACTTTTCAGTCATTTTTGAAGCATATAATCATGACTTGCCTTGTTTATATCACAGAGAATAGTATAAATATCTTCAATTTATGAACATACAGTTACAACTTAAAGTATAACAGTTACAGGTGAAATAATTCAAAAGATAATAACTACTCAGATGTATAGCTATATTTTTTGGGCACTGTTACAATGAAAAAAAAAAAATACAAAAATGTTTGCGTTTAATATAATCAGGCAGACATTATAATGAAATAATTCATATTCAGGGATAGGTATTCTAGTTCTACAATATTTAATGCTACACATTTATTTAAAAAAAATCATATAGGTAATGAATAAAGAAAAAAAAGTAAATAAATAAAATAAATCTTATACATTTATATCTAAAGATAGATGGTAACACACCTTAAGAGGTAAAACCTCCATTGTTGCAATGTAACCCAGCAGGTGAAAATCTGACATAGCTTCAAGAAATTGATCTGGCTTAAACTGCCTTAAATATTTGAAGAGTTGATTGAAATCCTGCAATAAAAAATATTACTTATCAAAAATAGTTTAAAATCTAAAATATAAGTATATGTTTTTACAGGTGCATCTAGTTAACAATATTACAAGAAATGTTTATTAAGTAATTTTTTAAGTAATTTCTTCGTTTATATTTTTGATTGTTTAATTCATTAATCAAAACAAAACCTGTTCTCATAGTTAGTAATTCACATCTGACATTTTAGTTCCAATTTTAGATCAAAAAATGCAATAATTATCTTAATAAGTTCTTCCCTTAAAGGAATATGAAATCTTGTGGGACACATCTCACAAAGTATTACAGCTTGTTACAATTGTTGAATTATCCCTTGTAACACATATGATGGATTTTTTCCTTTAAAATCCCAAACATTTAAGGCAAATCAAATCGTTTTCAAATGTATTCTGATGCTTTGCCCACTATTAAAATTATTTATTTTAAATTGGTAATTTTGCCAGCATTCTAAAATCCTCACCACGAAACAGCTGAAACAAAGAGGCGTCACACATGAATTTTAAAATCATTTATCAGTAGTGATGTGGAAAATAATATCAAATGAATAAAAAAATAATACATTAAAACATTAACTTAGCTACCACTAGAATATATTTTTACAGAAAGCATACAAAAATTCACAACAGCCTGAAATGATTAAAATCTCTGCACATATAAACGCTAGGGTTTGATACTTTGATATACTTCAGTTTTTTCTTCCTTATTTCAAAATTTTTATGCATGATGTATTCAACTGTTAAGAACCAATGTCTCGTGCTCTCATCTCACACATATAAGGTTGGTAAGTGATATTTTTCACTACTGAAATTCATTTTAATAAAATACTAGCTGAATACCCATTCTTCGGCAGGGGTGAATAAAAATACAAGAATCAATAAATCAGTACTGAGAAACATTACAAAGCCAAACTCAAAATTGAAAGGAATATACAGACACAATGAAAGAGCTTTATTAAAGATCCAGGCAACTATAGAACTAGAGGTATTCATGAATCAATGAAAATAACATAAAGTGGTTGCAACAGTATGGGTATCTTTAATGTAACAGAATTGTTTTTGCTTTTAATTTAATCTTAACTAATCCATAATGGTTTTAAGTATGTTTGAGTCATTCTACATCAGACAGTGGTAAATAAAAGACGACAAAGATTTATTAGTTTTGCTTACTAATAAAGCGGTAATAAAACAGTTTGAAGATCAGTTCTTTTCTTAACCTGATTATAGCCTCTTAGAAGATTTTTCCACTAAGCTCTTCAATTAAAAAAGCAAAATTATTTCATTTTTTATTTATCATTAATTGTTGTATTTCCCAGTGGTTTTATGTTATTAAGTTGAGCAAAATACGTCCATACACTTTGTTTTTTTAGCACATAACTGTTTTTTATTTCAACTAATACATATTACCTATAGTATTTAAGTATTGGTGTCAACAATGATAGGGTGAATAATGACCCCAAAATAAATATGCATCTTTTCTCCATTAACTTTGCCTCCCAGTAGATAGTTTATTTTTTTATTTCAATTAATACATATTATCAACATTAATTAAGCATCATTGTCATCAATATTAGTGTGGGGATTTTTTATGGTTCCTCTAAACAGATGAGTACCTTTACTCCATTAATTTTACCTTTTAGTACAAAGCTTATTTCTTTTATTTCAGTATACATATATTACCTAAATGAATCATTGGCTTCAATAAGAGTATGGTGATTTTTTACCTTTCTCGTACTTGAATTAGTACCAATTTTCCATTAATTTTGTTTTTAAATACATAAGTAATTTTTTCAAGTCAGTTAACGTGAATTTTAAATTGTTTACTTTCATACAACTCATTTTAAAACAATTACCATAAATAAACACGCGGTATAAGGTAACCTTAGAAATATTAATCTAGTGACGTAGTCAACACATGTCTTATTCATTGAATTTATCTGGCATAGCAAATAAAAACACGTGCAATAAACTTTATTCTGATCACATAGAGCTATAAATGAGCAAATATTACTGGTGTTATCTTTAAAATATTTGAAAAATTGATATGTCTATACTAAAATTTTATACAATGGCTAACATTTAACTAATAAGAAAATTCCATTTCATTTTTCACTCACCCTCCTCGAACAGCTCGTAGCAGAACGTCCTAATGTCAACAGTGACCTTCTTCGTGCTTTGAACTATCTATATGCCAAATTTCATTGCTATCACTCCTACGGTTTAGGAGTATATAAAGGACATACTGATACACATTCATTTAAATTACGCGCATTTGTTTTAGCTGTGGCGTATTTAATTAAGATAACTATTATTCTCAAATATAAGTGCACTATAGATTAGGTCATTTTTTGTGTTGAGAGTCAAATTTAGGAAAAAAGATAAGTTCCCAAATAATGATTTCATTTGAGACGGCAGTTATTAGTGTATATATCGAGCCTCGACCTTTCAAAGCAATTTAGGAAAACAAAAAAATATGGAAAAAAAACTGTATACTTATAAAAATCACTGCAAATATAAAAATACAAGGCAATAATAATTCTACAGTACCTGCACGTGGCTTTCTATCATGCGGTTTTCAACGGGGAATTCTTTAATTGAGGGATCTACAAAGAAAGTGTATTGAGGTTCACTGGGAGAGGAGACTGGAACATCGACTAACAGGTACTCAATGGGAAGTGGCCGTGCTAATTGAGTGATTTCATTCCCATACGAATCTTTCATCTAAAAACAGAATCACCGAGAAATTTCAGTGTTGACAACATAAATATAGAAGATTTTAAAAAAAGTAATACAGAACTTTTATTACTCAAACACTTATAATTCAAAGTTTTGATAATTCAAATGAAACCTGCAAGGGAACTACCAGCTTTAACTAAGAATTTTTTTAAACTAATCTGAGTTTGATAAGTGGATTTTTTTGTTTAATTTGAAAGAACTTTTGTTCTCCGAACAAACATTTTACCTTATAAATTGATTACTTCAAGGAAAGTAAAAAACATTCTAAAAAACTTTCGAATTCCAAAACAATACCTAGTTGATTATACAGTAGTAGAAAGTAACAAACAACTAAATTTAGACTAGACTAAATTTTTCTTCACTTTTATATTATTTTGAGGACTTCTTCATTTCTTTATGATGTATTTAGTGCTCTGAATATTTTTTAAAATTTCGCTGATAAAAGTATGGTTAAAATGCAAAACCAAAAAAGTAATAGATTCTGTTCAAAACAAAAAATGTAAGTTATTAACTTTGTCATTGTTCCTCTATAATAAAATTAAAACTGTGTATAAATTTACTTAAAGAGATAAAACATTACATTTGAGTATATTAAAGAGGCTATTTCTTATAGCCTTAAGTTTTTGCTTTTATTTTGATTGTTTTTGTCTGAAGGAGAAACAACATAGTAATATCCCATAAAAAAAGTTTTTTTTTTTAATGAATTTTGTAACGACTGTGATAAACGCAAATTATAACATTTCTTTTAAAATCTTATTATACACATTTTAATCTTCCTTTTATTATGCTACATTACTTAAACTTTTACATAAGACAACCCAAGAAAATGTATTAAAATAAAGACATAACGTAAAGCTTATTTTCTAACACAGCTTACCTTACTAAATAAGAGAACTTAACAAAATACATTACAACTATAGTGTTGACTATAGAAAAATACCAGAGTTTAAGGTGCCACATAAGAGAAATATACATATACAGTTGAACCTGTTTATCTCGAAAACCTCTATATCTCAAAATTTATAAAATTCCTTACATTTATTGTCTAAAATCAGTGTATTTTCCATGTTAATGTCAAAATTTTATTTTTTCAAAACCTCCGTTTTTCGTGTTTTCACTACAGTGCGAGAATCTCGCATTAAAAAATTATTACTGTGAGAAATTCGCGCATTCTATAAATCAATTTCAAAATTCGCGAATTTCTCGCATTTCGGAAGAAGCTTCGAATTACGCTATTTAGAATAAAATCCGTTTTACTTTTCTTCCTGGATCTTTTATTATTTTCAAAATTTGCTCCGTTATCTAGCTTCCCTATTTACCAGTATTGTTCAGAACCTTTTCGAACAACAGAACACAACCGAACCACGGAACCCCTTTCAGAACACATTTCTCTGCAACCACGTGTTTAAAGTAGGTAAGGTTTTTTCATGTAAGACGTTCAAATTTTTTATGCACTAATGTAAGATGGACAAATACCTAGTAAAGGCAAAATCTTCTATGATGATGCAGCAAAAATATTCAATGCTTTAAAAAATAGAAGACGTTAAAAATGTATTATAATAAAAGAAATGACTTTTTTTTCCAAGTCTATTTGTGTTTTTTTAGTTTTTAGAAATCTCACTTAACTTTCTGAAATCTCACCCTGTTTTTGAGAAAAGGTGAGAAATTCTCACCCATTTTTTTCTATGATGAAAACACTGCTCGAATTTCTAATAATAGAGCACAAATGTCAAAACTTTATCAGTAGAACGTGTAGACAGAGATGAATTTCGTGAACCCAGAGGAATGAATAGGTTGGGAGTGTCTCTTGGAATTTCAATCACTATCCCTGCACTTCCTTAACTAGAAAGGAATACAATGATTCTTTCAGTAAGTGAGGGGTTGATAAGTAAGACAGAGTGACCATCAGGGGTAAGTTTTTCTACATAGATAAAAAAGCTAGGAATAGAAATTCATTTTTGCCTCAAAATTACAACCAATAGATTCAAAGTATAATAAGGAGTTTTAAACTGAACTATAGAAAATAGTTGGTACGCAAACTAGTAGATGTCATCGATGAAAAAAATTTGTCTTCCAAAAATAAAGATGTTATTATACGCCATCAGAAATACTGTTTTACCTGGAGAAATGTGTCTCTAAAAACTATCTAAAAATGGTTTTAAAAAGCTAGTTTTATGAATAGCTGTGAAAATGATGAATAAGAGGTTGAAGGCATTAGTAAAGAGGAAGAAACTATTGGCGCTGTAAATGCAGTGCCAGATTTGCATGAATGGAATGCAATAAAAATGGAATTAATGTTGACATTAATTTTGAAGATTTTTTCAAGTGGACAACTGCCTGGCAACATGCAAAACATTGACAGATTCGGAAATCATAGATAATGTCAGATGAAGAGGAAGAAGCTGAAGATTATATTGATGAACCAAAAGTGAATGCAAAAGGGGTGGGAAAATGTGTAGAACTCCTGCAAACTATTTTTGAATCCCAGGAAAATGTTGTCTATGAGGGATTTGCTGTTCTTTCTAACCTTAAAAGCATAATCGAAACAAAGAAGGTTAGACATCAAAAATCTTCTAAAAATTTTTTTCAATGTTAAACGTAGGTTAAAATTTTTTTATGTAAATAGATACGTGAATTGTATGTGGCATAATTAATTTTCAGAAATGCCTGTATTTAACAAAAACAATTAAAACACTTTTAATAGAATTTCGTAATTAAATTTAATTTTTTTAAAGTCCTTGTATAACTTGAAACCTCTTTATCTTAAAATTTTTTCCTTTCCTGTGAGATTCGAGATAAATAGGTCCGACTGTAAAATGCACCATCGTAATTACTATTTTCAACAATACTATTGTCATATGCTGAAAAAGGATTTTCAAAGAATTTTGATGTAGGGAACCAATTATTTATAGCAGTTCATTATAATAGGATTCAAGCCAGGAGAATAGGAATTTGTTATGAAAGAAATACCTTGTAAAAAACATCTGGGACGTATTGCTCGTTGCTGGATTCTCGAACATATCCTAATTCTGGAGCATCCAAGGTGGGCAAAAGGCAGTTATCTTTCACCAGTGCCATACACTGGTTGGACACTTGGTAACCTTCCATGTGGATTTGGTTGTTTGAATCACCTTTAAAAAATTAAAAATGTTTGAAATTTTGATAGACACATAATATCCATAGCTCTATTTAAATCGGATGTTGGAAGGACTTGAAAATTATATTACAGAACATGCTCAGGTTACATAAAAATTCTGTTGGGACAAGTATTAGAAATAAATAGAATACTGTAAAATAAAGATTAACTCCATTTCTGCAATCTATACACAATTAATAAACATTTACTATTTATCTACTTTTAACATCTGAAAATATGAACTGAAACTATACAACCAATATGACAGAGGCATCTTATAATGTTCAGTGGGGAAAGACTGAATTCATGAAAGAAACAAAAATTATTAATATAAATACATCCCAAGTCTATTCAGAGCAAAATGAGTAGGAAAGGGGAAAAAAAGAAACCTATACATAAATAAAATTGTATTATGTAAAATAAAAAGTAAAATTCATACATTAAAATTTAGAGAATAAACCTAAATAAAAAAAAACTTAAAGAAAACCATACCTAAGCAAAATGTACTAAATTGTATAAAGCTCATACAACCTAGCAGCAACTATAAACAGCAAACCTTATAGGGGACAAAGGAAAGAACAATCATTTCTCAAATTTTCATAACAACACTATACATATACCTGACTATTTTTAAAAACAGCAAAGGGCAAGCGACAAATTATGCATATATATAGTTTGCTTTTCGGAAGGGACATTTTAACACAAAAGAATAACTAAGCATTCTATTTTCAACTTCAAAATTATTCTGTTTAAAACAAAAAGCTTCAAGAATTTCAACAGTTTGAGATCAATATTTCAAAGTTTCTATTATAGAATTGCTGCATTAAAAAAATAAGCAATATCAATTAGATAATAATCCCATCATACCAATACTTAATTAAGAATTATAATTGATTTCAATTCACAATTGATTCTGTAATCAAATAATTTTGAAATAGTGTTTCAACAATCTTGAATCAAAAACTCAATAAGTATGCTGTTTAACATATTTTTAACAAGGTAATTTAGTGGGTGATCCCTTAATTAACAATCTAATAACCCTATGATACATTTACAATATTGTTAGTTAGAAGGGATATTTTTTTAATCAGATTAAAGAAATGAATCAATAATAGTGAAACTACAAAACCTTACTCTATAATATTTGTTACATCATTTGTTGAAAATAATAAATAAGTGTATGACCTCTAAATTTGTTAATCGAGTTTCTGTTTCACAAAATGTCTGACTTCCCAAAAAAATTTAAAAAATTAAATCCTGCAGATAAGGCTAAATGCCTAATACAGACATTTAATTTGCAAACAGTTCCTAAGTTTGAACTATCAAATTTAAAAATTTTTACTAGCATTTTGAATTTAAATGAAATAAAAAGGTATATTGGATCTAAAATCCAAATCTTTTGATTTTTCAAATTATTATTTTTTAAATTTCTAATTCACAGGAAAGGGAATCTTCTGTAGATACACAAAATTAAGAATATCAAGAAAGTCAGGATAAAAAGTTTTTACACCTGTTATTTTTCTACATTAAAAGAAACCACATATTTGATAAAAAAAATTTTTTTTAAAAAAGATTGGCAGTTAAAGAACTCAGAAAAAAGAGCATATGTGCTTTATTCATAACAATTTGTTAGCATCAGTCATATTTACTAATTCTTAAAAATACTATTTTTTTTTCAAAGGGAAAAAAAATGGAACATTTGAGAAAATACTAACCTGTTATACAAACAGTTACAAACTTAGAACCGAAATACCCCTCGGGAGATAACTTGCAAGGATTCGGATTTAAGTTCTGAAAATGGCCAGCCATTATACACTCTTGAGCAGACAAAAAGTGAGAATTCTGTAATAAAAAAAATTAATACTGAATTTCATAAATGTATAGCACAGTAGTCATAATAACAACTACAGAAAAGTAAACCAATTTGTAAAGACCAAATAAAAATGCACATTCACCATACCTGAACAGCGTTGTGATTGCCCTTTGATCCCAACAAATGCGCTCTTTTTGTAAAAATAAGCCGCCATCGCTTAAAAACATTGCCTTTTTATTCATATTCCATTTTAAAAAATGCATTCTTTAAGTAATAATAACACCCTAGTAAAATTATCTGTGTTTATAGGTATAATTCTGACTTCTATTACAAATATTTGCTTTGTTAAGATTATTCTCAACTGGTTATATTTTTGCAAGTATCTTTTAACGGAAAGGTTTTCATTCAAATTCATTATTAAGTGATTTGAATTTTAAAACTATTTTTTAAATAAATATCTTTTTCTAATAAAATAAGCACCTTTAAATATTCATTTTTTCATAATTTTCAGTTTAAATTATAAAAAAAGTTTTCAAGTTACTTATCAAATAATAGTCTTTTGCTCAAAAATAGAAGAATTATATGCTTGTTACAACTTATTTCTAAAATAATTGTAAAATCTTCTTATGCAAATTATTCATTTTCAAAAAATTTTCAGTTAGAAGGTAGGAGTTTCATATTGACAATTTAAGGAATTTGTAGAAGATCTAGACCATTGGCTACAGTAGCATACCTTGAATAAATAGTCAGTGAATAAGTATGGTCTACAGCATTAATGAAAACAGCATAAAAGAATTTCATATTTCAAAATTTTAAAGATACTTTAAAAAACGGTTAAAAAAATATATTTCTTTTAATAAAATACATTGAATAAACTGCCACTTTCTAAATGGTACCTTTTTGAAGTTAACGTTTCTTAAAAACAGAAACAGGAAGAAAAAGTTAAATTACCATGTCACAAAAAGTTAATGAGTAAAAAAGATAATACTATTTTGGAAGAAAAAAATTAAACATTTATGATTTAATTAATAGAATCACAATTTTTCTTTAAAAAAATCTAAATGTATTTATTTGAGAATTTTGGAAATCAGAATAATTTTAAGTGATAGTATTTTGTTTTTCAGAAAGGAGAAAAAAGAAAAAAAAAACACTCAGCCAACAAGGGTTCCACAAAAAGTTGACTTACAATATTCCTAATATGTTTCACAGTTCCATTTTGTTCGGCTATCAAATCTGTAAAAATCCATCCGACTTTTTGCAATCCTAGCTGTGTAGCGATTTTATCAATAACTTCGGCTTTCTCGTCTGGTAGAAGCCTCAACATGTCTCGAGAACCATCCTAAATAAATAAATATTCAAAACTATTAACTGAAAAAACTAGATTGTTCAATAGGAAATAGAAAATAAAATTAAACAATTGATTCAGAAGATGATAGGAGATAAATGTCAGTATTGTTAACTCTTTAAATTATGGTATAAAAAAACCCTCTGTGTTCCTTTTAATTTAAGAAATATGCATTCTGATGTAAGGAATACATTAAAAATTAGCTTTCCTATATTTGCACAATCATTTCAGTGAAATAATTTGTTCTATTAATTACAGTTTTAACTGTTCCCTATTACAACACTCCTAAAAGTCCAATCAAAGTATGAAATTGACTTTAAAAAAATTTAATAGAAAAATTGTAGAATAACACCTTAAAATGAGTCAAAATGGAAAAGCACTAAAAGTAGCTAAAATCAGATTTGTCTTATGTAAACTATTTAAACAAAAAGTTAGAAACCAAAATTTTAAAGATATGTATGTTAGCAAAAACAGCACTTCATCAGGGGACACACTGTCTGCTAACACACTGGAGCCTTTCTTTAATCTGTGGTTAAACCAAAAGCTGACTGAAGATTCTACTTTCTTCTGAAGTGGAAATAAAATTTTTGTTTTGGTATTTTATTCCTAATTTTAAAAGATTTTGACTTAAAATTACATTAACCATCATTATATATAATAATTTTATATAATACAATAATTATATAAAATATGATAATTATATATAATATGATATGCTGACAATAATATAATTAGGTCATAGGCACTGAAAATGTTTTAAAAATTTCCGTTTCAATTTATTATCAGGATCTTACTATTGTTAAGAAAAATGTTTCATCAAAAACTACAAACGACGCCATGAGAAATAAATTATATTCCAAGAACAATCTAGATTGACTTACTTGAGGTGGCTCATAGATGGCAGTGACGATGGCTCGGATGCCTAAGGGTACATCTTTGTGAGGTTTATAATAGCCATACAAGATTCCAATTCGTTGATGGCTTGTGATGCGCCAGTAGTTCAAAAATCTATCCACGATTGATGAATTTTCAAACACAATATTATCAACATGTCTGTAAGGCTAAAAATAGATCATTAGGAAAAACAAATAGATAGGGAAATTAATACAACAAAATAATTAATCATTACAGATTTTTATATATATATATAAATAGGTCTCCTAAGATCATGGGGTGCCACTTCAAAAAAATTTCAAGACTGAACTTATTTTTGACCAATTAACACAATCTAGAGTTGTTTACAGAATTTTCAGAATTGTTGACTCCAAAATGTATATTTCCATAATTCTGGCACATATATTAAATCAATGATTTGATTTTTATTCATTTTGTTAATTTATTTTTTCACAGCAAACAAGATAAAAATAATAGTTAACCTTGAAGATCTTTTTGCATCAATCACTAGATAGTAAACCACAATTTTTTTCATGCAGCTACTCACATGTCTACTTCATTATTTTTTATTTCTTACTCTATCTGTGTAAAAAAAAATATTTAAAGAAAAAAAAAATCTTAACTTTGTTCAGCATTTCAAAATGTTAGGGTTAAAAAAAAAGCTCAAACAAAATTAGATACTAAAAATTTTGCTTAGGCAAGCAAGCACTGAAGTTCAATCAATCCTATTCTTTCATTGTGGTGCGACATCATTACTAGATAACGATGGGCAATAATTATGAATAGCAATGTTTTTGTTAAAATGTAATATTTGTATGAAATAAATAGATTCCTTGCTCTGATGTTCAAGTTAATATTGCGCACAGTTTTTCAATCAAATTCCTTAACCAGTTTTGAATAAAAATGTATCTAATCTGCTAGCGTTTTCAGCATTGAAAAAAGTAAAAAACAACTTTTTATTTCAAGCATGTGTCATTTCTTTTTTCGCTGAACTTTTATTTTTAAAAATAAAAGGTAAAAATACATCTTACTAGTTTCTTGAAGAGTATCTCCAAATTGTGTGAAATATGCTTGTAGAGGAGAATAAAATATCTCTAGGCAAAGTATATTTATATATGCTTTGCTTATATATTATTTTACTAAAGAATCAGCATTGATAAAAATCAAACAAGAATCAAGGGCATCTAAATGTCGTGAAACACTTATACATGTTGATGAAAGTGAAAAAAAAACAACTTACCTGTCGATTTAAAGTGAAAGCGTTAGGTTGGCATTTTGTACAAATGCCCTGAGGCCACGGTAAGTGATCTTTACATCCACTCTTGATTTTACAGCTGATGTTTTCTAAGGCAGCAAATTTACCCCTAATGAAACAAGACATCATTAATACTCAATGCTATCTCTCGCAATCAAGTGCACACAAAAAAGTGAATAACTTTTGACCAAATAAACAGTTTTTGCAGGTACATATTGACTTACATCAATCTTAGTGGTTTGCAGGGTAGGCTTGAAGCATTGAATTTAGTCATATTTCTAGTTTCGAAATCAGACATAAAAATGCACTTTTTCAAACAAATTTTTTTTTTACTAATTATTATTTCTCTTCTTTAAAAAAAATTAGTTTGAGGGTTTTTTTCTGGTAAAAGGAAAAACATAAAATGTTAATTTTAGCATACTTTATTATCTTAATTTAGAAATAAAGGCACGAATGTGAATAATAAAACGTGAGAACTCGTTTAATTTGGAAAAATAAATTAAGAGAGAGAATTTAGATTAAAAAAAAACCTAAAAGATTGGTTTAATACTTTTACGTTACATATATAATAATAAAATGCAAAACATAGATAGTAATAAAATGCAAAAACATTTTCAAAAATTTTACATTATCATGATAAAATNTATTTTCCTTTTTTTGCTTATATATTATTTTACTAAAGAATCAGCATTGATAAAAATCAAACAAGAATCAAGGGCATCTAAATGTCGTGAAACACTTATACATGTTGATGAAAGTGAAAAAAAAACAACTTACCTGTCGATTTAAAGTGAAAGCGTTAGGTTGGCATTTTGTACAAATGCCCTGAGGCCACGGTAAGTGATCTTTACATCCACTCTTGATTTTACAGCTGATGTTTTCTAAGGCAGCAAATTTACCCCTAATGAAACAAGACATCATTAATACTCAATGCTATCTCTCGCAATCAGGTGCACAAAAAAAAGTGAATAACTTTTGACCAAATAAACAGTTTTTGCAGGTACATATTGACTTACATCAATCTTAGTGGTTTGCAGGGTAGGCTTGAAGCATTGAATTTAGTCATATTTCTAGTTTCGAAATCAGACATAAAAATGCACTTTTTCAAACAAATTTTTTTTTTACTAATTATTATTTCTCTTCTTTAAAAAAAATTAGTTTGAGGGTTTTTTTCTGGTAAAAGGAAAAACATAAAATGTTAATTTTAGCATACTTTATTATCTTAATTTAGAAATAAAGGCACGAATGTGAATAATAAAACGTGAGAACTCGTTTAATTTGGAAAAATAAATTAAGAGAGAGAATTTAGATTAAAAAAAAACCTAAAAGATTGGTTTAATACTTTTACGTTACATATATAATAATAAAATGCAAAACATAGATAGTAATAAAATGCAAAAACATTTTCAAAAATTTTACATTATCATGATAAAATAATCAGTTTCTGAGAAAGAACTCTTTTCCTGATTATATTAGTCACCATAAAAACAATTTACGCACAATTTTAAATATATTCAATATTGAGTCACTCGTTCTATTTTTGAATTATTGAGTACTTCATATAAAAATTTAAAAAATATATTCAGGGTTGCCACTCAAATATGGAGGGGAAAAAATTCACCGTGTTTTCCCTGCACATATTATACACAATATATTAAGTAGAAACACAATTACTTTTAAACAATTTTGTATGATCTAGTATATTGGAAGGGATAAACAGCTTAGAGTTTGATGAAACAAAAACATCTCAGCATTTGATTGAGGATCAAGAAAGTCATCATTTAACAAAAAAGGAAGGTGTCTAAAAAAGTTCCTCTAGAAAAGCTGAAGAATTTTTAATTATGCCAGTTTATAGAACACAGACACATATCATATTTGATTGATATCATATTTGATTGACACAGTTTTCCAGGATTCTATTTTTTAATAGCTTTGGTAGGAATGCCATGTAATTTCGATTTTGGTCAGGTGACATAGACAACACCTAAGTCAATACCCCTCTCTCTACACTTCCACACCACAACCAATGAGAGTACTTTCAGTCACTAAAAGAATTAACACACACTCTGCTGCTACCGATCGTTTAGTCGGTTACCAGAATTGAACCCACGACACTCAGCTCTCCTACAAAAGTGTGAAGCTATGTATTTACTGATTGCTCCACTGTAATGCTTGAAACAGAAACAGGTTATGTTACCTAATGAATTCACAATGTGCAAAAACTACATTGACAATTGCTAGATTGAAACTGCAAAATTAAAGACAATGTAAAAAAGAAAGAGTGTCGAGTCATTTTTTATCTGTTAAGGCTATATTTTAAAAAAATATTTTTTAGGTTTATTTTGTGTTATTAAGGACATTTTTAGGTCATTGAAATTTAGGCTCTACTTATAGCCAAGACATTCATTTGTCTGCTAAAAAATGGGCGATACAAAAAAGAAGGAAAAAAAAAAGAGATGAACTTACTTATCAATACCAGCAGTCAACTTGCGGAGATAGGAGTGAAATGACATGTGCTTAATATTCTGCTCTTGTAAATAGGCTTCATTATAAGGCTGGGAATGGAGGGGAAAAAACTTAATATTTTAAATTCATACTCTACATACAATTTTCATAGTTCATAAAAAAAGTAAAATACATTAAACTTATAATTCACAACAGTAAACTAATTATTCACAAATTGGTTGAAACAGACAATATATTGCGGGGGGAATATTGTAGAACATGAACTAAATTGAGCAAAATAGTGTATGATAGAAACTCAAACAAATGAAAAATTGTAGTACAGAATTTAAAGCAAACAAAATAGTATAAGTATAAATAGTGTGAGATTATACAAAGTTTATAGTAATTGAACTTTTTTAAAGTAAATATTTAATACCTCTACTGAGAAACAATGTACACATTTTGCATTGGGACCATGATGACACCTGCAATAGAAGAAAAATAAAATAAACACATTAGGCACAACAAATAATCATATTAACTAAATATTCTATAATGACCAACTCAAATTTGATTTAATTTTTATTCCCCCTAAAAATTTGCTTCAGGTACCCATTTCTTGATTTAAAGTATAATTAAAATAACAATACGAATAATATAAATTATTTTATTACACAAACTAGTTACAAAAAATAAAATGTTAATCGTAAATTTTAATTCTTAGAGTAAGTTTTGTTGAAATATTTATATAGCATAACTATTATCTAGGATTACCACTGGAACCATTAGTTAGCAAATCTCTATCTTTGTTGAACTTTTTCTTTTATTTGTTCTTCAAAACTTGAAATAATACCTTGGGAACAGAATTATATCTATTATTTTGCAACAAGACTTTTGATAATTACAAGTGCCGGTATTCAACAAAACTAATAATTTCTGCACTAAAATTATTACTATTTTAAAATGACAAATAATTTTACTTAAATTGAAATTACAAAGGAAAAAAAAGGCATCAAAATTTTATAAATTCAAATTATTTATTTACTAGCTGAATACCCGCTTTTTGTAAAGTGTGGAAAAAATTACATTATCAATATATCAGTACAGTACTAAACTACACTACAAACCCATGCACAAAACTGAAAGAGGTATACCAATACAATAAGGATAAAATAATTCTAATTACATTTATTATCATTTTTTATCCTAGCCAGTCACTTCATGTTATAAGATTAAGCAAAATATGTTTTTAGTAATACATTCTATTAAAATAAGGAATTTCTGTATTCAATCAGTGTCTTTTGGAATGATGTTGTAATTCAAGATAGACTCATGTAATTCAAAATTTATCATAATAAAGTGATTTTCTTTGGTATTAACCATCATAGATATCAATAATAGTATAACCATTTACTACGCTTCTCGTAAAGGAATTAGAAGCATCTTGACATTTTTTTTCTTCAGTACATAGTCTAGTACACCAAAATTAAACAAGCATCATGGAGATTTTTCAACTTTCTTCGAAACAATTTAGTCTAAATAAAACAATTATAATTTTAATCTTAAAAGTAAGACAAAAATAATTATGCAATAAATAGAAAAGAATTGGTTTAAAATAAACTTAACATTGCGATTTTTCCGAAAAATTTCATTTTGTACCTCGAAAAGAATTTGACGTAACAAGGTTTTGAGAAATAACCCCCCTTCGACATAGGAATTCAAATTAACATTAGATGGATACACAGGGTGTTTATAAATTCCCGGACCCATTTTGATGTTTAATAACTCATAAAATAATGAAGATATAAACCAACTTATGGCATTTAATGGTGGAATAACTCATATATTTTCCTTTTCAGGTTTGAATATCTTTACTTTTGAAAATATCATCTGCGCGTGTGGTTAATTTCAGATAATTTCATTTTCCAGTCCAAATATCTGTACTTTTCTAAATATCGTTTGCTTATTAAATGCATTTTTCTCTCTTGTTTTTGGCAACTATTGCAATGTTATGTTTACTTGTGATGTGTTTGTTCTATCTAGCACTTTTCTATGTGATGTTTTATTCGAGCAGATATTAAGGAGAATGCATACACCACAAGAGAAAGCACAGATTTTTGGTGGTTCATATAAACGAAATCGATAGTGCAAGCACAGGGAAATTGCAGAAGAATTTACCAAAAAGACGCTCCATCCAAAAGTAGCATCTTGCTGTGGAAAAATAATTTTCTAAAAACTGGAAGTATCGCAGATAAGAAACGTTCCGAACGTCCATGCACAAGTGATTTTGACATTGAGCGTGTCAGAGAGACATTTTTAGACAATCCTAGAAGATCTGCGAGATCAGCGGCAAGAGAATTGGATATGCCAATTTCAACGATGTGCAAGGTTATTAAGAAACAATTAAGACTGCCTGCATACAAAGTTCAAATTGTTCAAGGATTGGAACCGGGCGATAGGCGTAGGAGGATGACGTTTGCAACAGATATGGTAGAAAGGATAGAAGATGATGCTGATTTTCTGAAGCGCAAAATGTTCTCCGACGAAGCATCCTTTCATGTTTCTGGCGTTGTTAATCAACATAATGTGCGCATATGGGGATCTGAAAACTCCCACAAATACCGTGAGACATAAAGGGATTCCCCAAAGGTTAATGTGTGGTGTGGACTAATGCACGACCGAGTCATTGGGCCTTTCTTTTTTACAGAAAAGACGGTCTCGTCAGCCATATACTTAGAAATGTTGGAAAACGTCGTATTTCCACAACTAGAAGAGCTTCAGCCACATGTCTTTTTGCAACAAGATGGTACACCACCTCATTGGGGTATCGTCGTTTGTAGTTCTTTGAATGACCATTTTCCAGGAAGATGGATTGGGCGAGGAGGTTCAATTCCTTGGCCACCCAGATCACCTGATATAACGCCGCTGGACTTTTTTTCTTTGGGGATTTATAAAGGACAATGTTTACAGGAGGACAGTGTCGAACATTGATGACCTAAAAGCCAGAATTACAACCGCAATAGCCTCTGTGGATGCCGACATGCTAGCCGCTACCTGGTATGAAATTGACTATCGACTTGATTGATATTCTCCATGCGACGAAGGGGGCACACGTGGAAGTTCATTGACAAGGGTCATGAAACTTTTTGAGTCTATCTAACCACTTATGTTATTAATTTTAATCTATTTTTATTATTTTATGAGTTATGAAACATCAAAATGGGTCCGGGACTTTATAAACACCCTGTATAGTGCCAAGAGAATTTTTTTTTGTTTTGTTTTGTTGTTGACATAACAAGGTTTTTGAGATATCGAAGTTCGAGATACCAAGAGTATACTGTACTAATTTGGTGGCATAGTCCACTTATCTAACACAACACGTTTCATGTCACCACACTCACATTTATCTGACATAACGAATAAAAAATATTTAAATATTTTAGAATGTACAATAAACTCCTATTTTGATTAACGAGAGCTATAAGCTAATGATACCTTTAAAATTGTTTGCAGTTTAATTTATATCAATGACCCTAGCTCTAAACCAATAAAAAAAAATTCTTCTGAACAATGTGAAAATTTTTAAACGCTTTTCAGGATTGGGGTGTCCAAAAATCCAAAAAGTGTCCAAATTTCATGATGACAAAACCAACGGTTTTAGAGTTATGAGGCACACACAGATAGACAAACATATTCTTCATTTTATTACTATACATGCATAAATGTATGCATGATTGCATTACATAGCATGTCAGGGCTTGACAATGGTCCGTTGATCTGAGACAATAAAAATTTGACTTAAAATAAGGAATCACCAAAGTAATCAAAGTAATAAGGTAAATTATCAAAGTAATCAAAAGGTAACGTGATCAAAAGGTAAAGTGATCAAGGTATCAAAGTAAATTATAGTATTATTATCATCTAAGTCAAAATTCTTAACTCGTGAAACTCTTCGAAGAGATAGTTTTCAACTCTTTCAATCCCTAATTTTAATTTCAAGCTTAATAATTTTCAAATTCTTATTTTTTGTCACTTCTTTTGCATTTTTGAAACGTCCTGGAAAAAAGGGAATTTTAATGTCTTGCATAGATATTACTGATATTCCCCCTCCCTTTGTCAATAAAAATAACCAAATCACAAACCTCTTTCTCTTAAGTGCTTATGCAATATTTTCATATCCCCCCAAGGTACTAAATTTTACTTTATGATACAGTAATCATAGGGAATTTGTATACTCACAATTTAGGGTCCCTCTCTCTCTCAATGCTTCCATTTTGTTTAAATAAATAAGTATCTACTGTATCTTCGACAAGGTTAGTGTAAATTCCTTCATTGACATCTAATAAAGAATTTTTTCTTCTATCGTTAGATGGTGACTTAGATGATGATGATGAATCCTCTTTACTATTTACACTTCCTTGTTGAAGAACTAAATATAATGTGTCACCATGCCTTAAAAAAAAGATCTTAGTGTAAAAACAATTATATAAAATCATTAGTAAAGACTAGATAATAATACTATAATATTAGTGATAAACAAAATAAATTTTTTTAGCACTTTAGTTCTAAAAAAGATTAAAATTTCTAGGAGATAACATTACACTATGTAATGGGGACAATCATAACTCTGTGATAAAAAAGTCTTTTTATTTGTTTTATGTGATTTATTAAGCACACACAATTACTTAATAAATCATATTTAAAGAGTACTACGAGTTTAAAAAGTGAAACATATAATAAAATCTCATTTGTATTCTCATTTCTCATTTGTATTTCTAAGGTGAATGTTTTTTTCTCTTTAAATCCTATGCCTAATTTGAAAAAAATCAGAAATGAGCTGTCTCACAGTCCAATTTAAATGTAACCAATCTAAAAAGAGAAGTATCTCTAGTTTCAACATTTTAGTTTTTTATTTTATTTATTTTTTTAAAATTCTTTTTTAATAACCATCGTTGAACAGCCGACCCAATTTTCGGGTTAAGGACTAATGTTCAACTCCATAGCCTTGTAATTTTGAACCCAATCTAGAAGAAAAGGGAAGTCCTGGATAAGTATTGGGAGAAATCGTGGAGGACTTTTGATGGAACTAACCCCCATTTGTGTTACATGGAGAGGAAGACCACGAAAGCCTCCCAATGCCAGCCTGACGGCAAAGGGACTCTAATCCATGATCCGTCTACCACTGAAGATATTTCAGGTAAGCACTGTGATCGATGCAAGCAGAAGGCAGATTCGCATCAACCAGCCATCCCTGGGTTTCACACCCGGTCCATGATCAGGGGATAGAGCGTTCTACCACAAACTCTCTATCCCCTGAGTCAAAGTGGCTCAATGTTTTAGTTTGAAGCAAATAAGTATTTTTATGTTGATGGGGTCATGATTTTCACCAGCAGCATATCAAAACAATTGCTGTGTCTGGCTCGTTTTGCTACTGGTGGATTATTTCACGAATGGGCAGCAACATCTTATTTGTTCCAAACTAAAATGTTTGCAGCAAATAAGATTCTTCTGGTGATAATCATGACCCCATCAACAAACAAAAACAGATTATATCAGTCTTACTTACTAAATCCTTTTCTTATTTTGTAAAAATAAATCTTAACTAGTAAAATTAGTGTCAATTATTCAATCTGGTATTTGCCAGCAATTGAATTACAAGTTTAAAAATATGTGGTTAGTTGCAGGTACAGTAACTTAAATGGTTCAAACAAAAAATATCTAATAAAATAATTTTGACTTAAAAATATGGTTTAAATAATCCCTGAAGTTTCTAAGATGACAACTTATTTTCTCAAAAATATAACTAATATGTGTTCTCTGTAGCTTTCTCATTGTTTATAAGCTCATCAACCTTGGTATCTTAATTATAGATAATTTTTTTTCATTTAAGGTTTGAATTTTTTTTAACAACAATTCAAACTTTGATAATATTTTAAGTGAACTAATACAAAGATAAAACATTTCATAAATATTACTAATCTTTCTTGTAATGTATCTTTTTTCAGAGTAATTAACAAGTAAAATGTCGATTCTTTTGAGATTTAAATTTTTGTGTTATAAAGCAATATAAAAAAAATATGTTTTATTAGAAATTATATAAAAAAAATTAAGTTTCAAAAACTAATAATCATAGGAAGTAAAAGAATTTTCAAGTACTTGTGAATAATTCAAAGTAAGATTAAAAATATAAAAGATAATATACCATCTGCAAAGTATCTGCAAACTCTTTGTTAAAAACAGTATGATTTTATTCCAAAAATTACTTAAACATAGTTATTTAAAACAGTTTTAACATCAAACATCAAAAACATCCATAAAAAACAATATGCATATATTAGAAAGATAAAAATGCCAACAGTATCTAGACAAGTGAGACATGCAAACAAATGTGATTTTTCTTAAATGAATATATTTTTTTAAAAAAATAATTTAATAGAAGTATCAACAAAATGTAAGAAAATCTGCAAATGCACCAGCAAGTAGCCCGTGCACATGCGTCTACATTACAGAACTAAGGATGAAAGTAATAAAATATAACAGAGTGGCTGCAAAGACTTAGGGAAAAAATTCCATGATTTTTCTAAGCTAATTTTATCGAATTTCACTGATTTTTTTGATCTGTGGCATAAATTTTAGTAATTTTTTAATTATAACTTGTTCATATGCATTAAATATAATATATAACACTTTTACTTGCTATTATAATTGTATTAATTTTAAAGCGCTACTACACGACTTATGTTTTAAGATAAAATGAAACCTCAAGCTTAAATTAATTCAGTTTCCCTGACTTTTTGGTTATTTTAATTGAATTTTCTCACATTTCTCTGATTTTTTTTCCAGAATAATAAAATTTCGTGACTTTTGCATATTTTCTCTGTTTTATGGCTATCCTGAATAACTAATTTAATTAATAATGTGACATGCATTATGAAATGATTAAGGAGGATATTTAAAATAATACTCTGGTGATTATGAAAATGAAACTTTTGCTATTCCTAGATTTTTCGGTTATTTTAATTGACTTAAATAATAAATATAACCAAACTTGCATTATGAAGAATGGTATAATGATTTAGGAAAATAGAGAATACTAAAAATAATGCTCTGGTGATAGATAAGCACATAATAAGAATAAAAGTTTGATATTCTATTCCATTTTAATAGAATTACAGAAAAAAAAGTGATTTACTTTATGCCATAATGAGATATCTGTTTTTTATCAGTGGATATCAGAGGATGTTTCCGACTTCTGTCTTTGTATAAAATGAAGCTTAGAGTAGCCTCAATGTCAAAGGCACTTTTAACCTGAAAAACAAATCTTCGCATAAATGAAAACGAATAAAAATTATAAACAAAATTAGAGCCATTACCCTTTGAAATTGGGGAATAATTTAGGTAGTGAAATTCAAGTAGTCTGAAAGACCATCCAAATTTCCATTTGAAAGTTCAAAATGGTAGACAAATGTAAAAAAGTCTAAGCTACAGAAGTACACAGTTATAGGCAGATTTCAGGGTTCATATCAATTATTACACAGCAAAGAACAACACACTATTTTAATTTTAAAATATTCTAAAATACCACTTGGTTACATTACATTACATCTGGATATTTTAAAAATATATATATTTACAACACCGGATTATCAAATTACACATTTTAGTAATAACTTTCAGGGGTCTGTCCAGGCCGAATTTACTACCGTTTAGCGGTACCTTCACAAATTCAATTTTAGGTGAAACGGTAGTTTCACAAATTCAACTTTAGGAAAAACGGTAGTTTCACAAAATACTTTTTCTTAAAATTTTATTTTTTTATCCTTTAAGAAACGATAAATCTATATTTTTACCATGTTTTTGTATTGATTTTGTAATATAATTTTTAATTTTTCACAAATTATGTCTAAATTTTCACAAAATAGGTACCTTTCAGAAAAACCTAGACAGACCCCTGACTTTTTTAAAGAGGTTATCTTGACACACTTGTTTGCAATGATTTCATTTTGAATTCTCATTTTTAATTCATTTTTTGGCAGTAATTGCCTCATATTTTCACATGACTTTTGCAACAATTATTGTAAATCCAAGAGGTTTTGTCACTGTTTTTTTTTTTTTTTTCAAGAGCAAATATGGAAATGCTTCAAACAACACATTTAGCAATGAATGATACTGTTAATAGACTTACTTTAAAAGAACAGAAAGAACTCTTAACAAACTAACCACAAAATGAACACAAAAAAAATAATTCTGAGTGCTATACTGAGTTTTTAATTGAAGAACCAGGTAACATTTCAGTAAAAAAGATTTCATTCCTTCTAACTTTAACAATTCAGATAAAGTAAGTAGGAAATTCTTTAGGCGAAGACACATGTTCCAAATTACATTTTCATTCAAAACAGGAAATCCTCATTTCTTTACAAAAATTCTCAGCTAAAAAGTAGTCAGCCTTTTCAATCTATCGTTTGTTGCATTTTGCAATTACTAACGCTAATAGTTAACGATTACCTTTTTATGAACATTACAGAGCTAACTACAGTAATAATCAGCAAATTTTACAGTAAATAAAAAAAATACAAATAACAAAACAAAACAAAATTATTTTATTAAGAACGTGGAGGCAAGTCATTCATTTTCGTTCACTACAGCTCTGCTAATGAAATATCTTTACATCAGTAAAAATTTAAAAAAAAAAATCTATTAAACAGTGTTCAAATATCCAACACAAACAGATACCTTATTTACAAAAGAGACAACACTCTCAGAAGAATTACATTCAATACGTTTTGTTCCTTCAGATGACTGAACAGCAACCAACTATATTAAAAGAAAAACACAAATTTTAAGATATGTAAATAGAACTTTGATTCAATGAGATTCATTGTTAACAATAAAAATAGGATATAATAAAAAGTTAAGATATACTAAGTTCAATATAGACTACTTCTTATAACGTAGCCTTTACACCGAGATGACTTTTGGGAGGCACATAATTTTTCCATAGACTTTGTTTTTTTACAATAGACTATTAAAACCTCTACCAGGGAAAGGCAAACATCTCCCCCAAATGAGGAAAAAGTCAAATAAGGAAACATGAAAGAATATCAAAACAAAAAAATTGAGCAAAACAAATAAGTAGATTAAAATGCTTTCAAAATATTTGTGTGAGGCTCTTATTTACGGGGCTGTCTCCCACTCACCTGTTAAAAAAACCTAGGTGGGTTTTTATAAAAAAATCTATACAAAACACATTTTGAAAGGTTTTTTTTTAAGGAATAACAACAACAACAAGAAAAACCCTTTGCCAACCTTTTTTTCCTTCTCATTACTAATTTCACACATTTTAAAATATTTTTTTTAAATGATTTTATTATTTTAAGCAAATAATCTTGATTACATGCCAAAAAATTGAACGAAAAAATTTTAATACATTTTTGAAATTTTCATTTTATGGAAATATATATTATATTTTAAAGAATAAAAATTTTTTAACATAACAGAAATTTATAACTGTTTGTATTTTACCAAAACATTTTAATCTTTAATCTAATTTTTATAAGAAATTTCTGTAATTTACAGCAATTAATGACATATGGCAAAGTAAAAATAAAATAAATGACACATTTATTTAAAAGTTTTGTAATAATCTCTTCTGGTTCTGCTTTCTTCGTTAAATGTCTTTAAACTTCAACAAGCTTTTTCAGGACCCAAACCTTTCAAGTTGACATACAGAAAACCAGCATTTAATAGCTGAGCTTGCTGGACAGCCAGCTAACTGAACTATAAAATGGGCAAATTCTTTTGTTTTCCCTACTACACTTTCATTAAATAATGAGTGTGAGCACACACTTAACCAAAATTAGCCATTCAGCATTTTTCTTAGAAACTGAATCATTTGCCTCTTTCCTCGTGTATTTAGGAAGTCTTTTTTCATTGTAGTTTGAATTCAGCATATTAGCTAAAAAATGGAAAGTAATAAGGGCTTAATTACACCTTTTTTCAATAATTTTTCCATGTGGGCGTAGATTCTCATTGTCTGGTTGGTATAAGTTCTGTGTTACTTTTCAAATTAATAATTTTGTGTGACTGATAGGTAATAATTAAAGGTCATCTCATTTTTTTTGTATGTTGATAATGGTCAATCCTAAATTGTAAAAAATGAAAAAAGAGCTACTGTGTTGGAAAGAATATTGGGTGTTTTTCCAATAGGACAGTCATTTAGTTATCACCTAACTATACTTTAAAATATTCATAGGACAGAGTTTAAATTAAATTAAATTAATTAGCTGCAATTGAAAATGAATTGGCATAATAATTTAATTTGTTTTTTTTTAAGTTTTTTAATATTAACACTGTATGCTGTTATAGATTTAGTAATAAAATCATATACTATGTAATTAGGTTGTATACTAATAATATGCTATGCTGTAAACCAAAAAATTAAACCCCAACAAACAACCCCACCTGATTTGGGTTTTTTTGCAGGTGAGGGGGACGTTTTTTCTTTCCCAGCCGCTTATTTAGAGAGCTCTTTATGACGATACAACCTCATGTTGCAGTCAGAGTACTCTAAAGACGAAGCTATTAATTAGAAAACAAAAATTATTTGAAAAAAAAAAACATCTTTTAAAGCTATCTAATTTTTATGATATAAAATTAAATGGAAACTTGAACAAAAAAAAAACATAATTGCTTATTTTAAAAAAGCTTTATCAGGCATGATTGGAAATTTATTTTTACACATAATTATATCAGTTGGGATCATTTTTACAGACGTTAAATTTTATTAATAAATCTGTCTTTTCATGATGCCAACAGAAGTGGCATTTTTGCACCCAGAAAATTAAACTGACTAAAATTAAAATCGTTTTCGAAAAGTCATACCAATTTTGAAGTCAAAAGAGGTAACCTCTACGAATGACTATTTTACTGCAGAACAGAGAGTGGTCGTTGCAGAGAGGTGGTTTCACTGCAAACGACACGCTCAATTCGAATATTATTTTGATTTTATCACCAGCTATTTTAGCTTTTTATCAATTTATGATAATAATAAGGCCATAAATCTGATATGGGTAAAGGAAAAATGCAGTTTTTAGCTGTTAAATTTTTCCTAGAGGTGAAAAGAATGAAAAGTTCTAAAACATGAACAGTTGTAACATAGGAAGAATGATATCCTACTTAAGTTGCAAAATAAATAAATAAATAACAACTGCTAGTTTTTTTTAATTACTTTCTATGTGATGTCCCTTAAACACCTGATAATAATAAAAAGTTTTAAATACAATTTTTGCAAAAAAATGAATAAATAAGTAGTCAGGAAGGCAGTAAATCTTTTACTATCTTTGGACCATTTTCAAAGAAGGAAAAATATTAATTGAATTGTTAAACTTTTTTTTGAGCGACTAGAGTTCCTAATTTCTAAAACATGAATTGTAGTAAGAGAGAGATTTATAAAGAGACAAATACACTTCATACTTCAAATTATTCATGTTATAGAAATTTTCATCTTTCTAGCTTCTCAGCAGACTTTCATAAAATGATTTTTTAACTTTTAACTTTTTTAGCCCCTAAGAAGAAATTTATAAGTTAAAATAGTCCTTTTAGCTTTCTCCTTATCAAATTCATTGAAAAATGATAATACTATCAAAGAATGATAAAACTCAAGTCGTTAAGTAAACTCTGTTGCAGCTGCACCAGTTAATTTTTCTTTCTTTTAAAAGAGATTTACAAGGACTCTTCTGAGATTTTTAAAAACCTTTTGCATACTTTAAAAAAAAAAATTTGCTTTGATTTCATATCTAAAGGGTCATAACAGCAGATACAAAAAAAAAAAAAAAAAAAAAAAAAAAAAAAAAAAAAAAAAGAAGGAAAATGTAGTAGAGCAGCAAAGATTTTAATTATAGCTGCTAGAAAAAGTGCCTAAGAAAATCTCAGTGAAGTTGCTCAGACGATAATTTCATTATTTCTTTATCCATCTTTATTTATTTATAAACACTCTATCTATAGAGAGACTAAACATAATAACATTCCAAACAAAGAAGCTTTATTTGGAAAATACAATCTTTTAATCACGACTGGTCAAACACCTCAAACCTATGGCTCAAACTTGCTATTTTAATAGACATCTTTGATTACATTTAAAAATAAAGAATGACAAGGTTTACATATCTAACATAGAAAAAATATAAATCATGCGTTAGAAATAAATTAAGTCAAATAATGCGAATAAAACACAAAATAACAGAAAAAAGGACAAAGTTTCAGTTACAAGATTTTGAATCTTTTTCTCAGAACTAAAACTATCAATTTCCCCCCTTTTGTTTCATTATTTGAGCTTTACTCCTACTGTTAAGCTTTATTTATATGACACACAAATACAATTATTGCTTTATCTTTTTGGATAACAAGTGACAAAAATATTTAGCTAAAAGTTGGATAAGAGAGAAATTGGTGCATGACCAGACATTGCATGAGAAAATAAATGTCACAAACAAAATTATCTTCTTCCCAATGGTCACAAAGACCATTGGGAAGAACTCCATATCGAAAGCTGTACCCAACATCGAAAAAAGAAGTCCAATTATAGCAATAATCAGACATTATCGCAACAGTCAATTATAGCAACAGCATGTGGGAAACCAAAAAAAAAAAAGCCCATGGAAGGGAAAGTTGTTTTGAAAAAATATTTTTTCAAATATAAAAATCTTTTAATGCCTTAGCGATTTCATTCGGCGCATTAGAAATAAAGGATAGGGTGGTTTTTTTTGTTTGGGCAATTTCTTATGATCTTTCAGAAAACAGAGAAAATGACTTAAAAGTGAGATTTCCTAACTATTAGAGATCTATACAAAATTGGCAAGCAACAGGAAAGAAGATTTTTTATATAGTAAAAATCCCAAGCTACAGTACCCTATCTAAGAAGCACCTAATTCTGCAATCTAACCATTAGTAAACAAGTATTAAAATGGAAATATCTCTAAAGTTAGGCATTCCATGAATTCGTTGCACAAAGAACCAAAATACTTATGGGGGATTTTGGACATACCTAAAATAAATACAACCATAGAAATAGTCAAAAACAGTTATTTATACCTTATGATTAATTTCCTGATATAATTTCCGCAAAAACTATAATATTTTATGACACAAAAGACATAACATACTCTAAATCATAGTAAAGCTCAAGTTTATCATTTATTTAAATATTTTAAACAATAAAAAATTCAAAACATTAGTATTAAAAACCCTTAAATAACCAATGAATAACGTGAGTTAAAGGAAAACCCTGTCATAATGTAAACAAACTTAGTATCCGGGTATAATTAAGATAAATATACTTAATTTCATTATTGGTACACACAATAAGACAGAAAAGAAAAACGGAGAAAAGCGTTAAAACATATCCTAACAGTAACAAGCACGAATTACAATATCAACCGATAAGGAATGTGATTACGTTTATCTAAGATCAGCATATAGAGAAGGTGAGAATTATTTCAGCCTTAAAGTTTTATAAACGCAAGAAATTTAAAAAAATAAACATGCAAAAATTTACCCACCATAACATTATATTCTATCGAGAATAACTAAAAGAACCCATAGAAAATTTTGTGACAACACTAATCGATTAATGGACACAGGAAAACAATAAAAGAAGTAACACAAAGGTACCATTACTCATCAAAAATTAAGTCAGAATAAAAATTTAATTTAATTTCAAATTGAATAAATTTTAGTTATATAGAAATGCATTTAATAATACAAACTTACCATTTTATATGTGCAGGTAAGAAAGCTAGCTTAAAAAATCACAAAAGTGTCAAAATATTATTCCTTCAAGATGATTCGGAATGTTTACATATAAAACGTTACGGTCGCGATAACATTAACTAAAACTGTAGTTTTCGTTGCTGTTGCCAGAAACCAATTAGGATTGATTTTACAGTCAGTGGCTTATTTTCACTATCAAAATACATATCTCAGTGAACTGCATACGCGTTTGATTAAAATGGCATTTGTATGAAATTCACACTTTTCCGATCCCGGTCACATCCCAGTCGCTCCCGGTCTAGAGAATATGAGATACTGATTAGTGAAATACATTTTCCAGGGTGGCCCTTAACTCGCTGAACAGAACGATTTTTGCAGCTAATGTAGCAATAAGGCCCTTCGCACTGGATGCTATTTTTGGCAACTAACAAAATCGCAAGCGTATGACTACCTGATTAGAAAAATATTTTTACTTGTTCAAAACTCGATAATCAGGTTATCATTCACCTGCGAAAAAATCGCAGCCAGTGCGGATGACCCTCACACACACATGCCATTCAAGCTTGTCCAAACAGTTTCTCTCGTGCGTAATTTATAAACATTTGGCCGCCAAGTCGATGTAGTGTTTTGAGGCTTCATCTACGTCGGCTTAGACAGGGGTTAGGTTTCCCGTGCTAAAAGCTTGAGGTGCTTTTATCAAAGGGAATTTTTTCCGACTATGTCTTGTAAGACATAATCGGATTATATCTAGCCAGTTGAACAGTGAAGTCTAGCATCACTGGCTGCGGTAAGTAAGTGGGTGGGTGATGAATTTGATCAGTTTGCGTTAGACCCAGGGATGAGCGGTATCGGTCCTCGCTAAAATGTTCTGCTGTAAAGCGCTCGACTTCGCGGGCAGGTCATTTGGCTACTAAAGTAGGGGAGCCAACCCCTCTGTAGAGGATCAAAATTGCGATGGCATGTCTTTAGATCATTCTCAATGATGTTTCCCAGGACGTCGCCAAAAGCCCATTGTGCAGCTCTAGTGCAACGCAAATAAAATATCTACCTACTATGTTAATAACAAAACCAAACTTAGGCACTATCGCTGATAGGAGATTCTCCCCAAATGCAGTTACCGCACAATGGCAGCCTCATTGGTGGGTATTTCATAGAGAATTAAGTTTCACCACTTAAGATTATCAAGGACAATAATTCCCCAAAGGTGATCAGATGCACGACTTCCGCATTCGATAAAAATACTTTTGTTGGAGAACGAATGCTGTTGTTGTTGTTAATTTACGTCGCACTAGAGCTGCACAATGGGCTATTGGCGACGGTCTGGGAAACATCCCGGAGGATGATCCGAAGATATGTCATCACAATTTTGATCCTCTGCGGAGGCGGTGACACCCCCGCTTCGGTAGCCCGACGACCTGCGCGTGAAGTCGAGCACTTTACGGTAGCACAGTTTAACGAGGACCAATACCGCACACCCTCGGTCCCTACGCAGACTGATCCAAGTGGTCACCCACCCGCACACTGACCATAGCCAGTGATGCTTGACTTCGGTGATCTGCTGGGAACCGTGTCTTAACGATCAGTCCACTGCGGGACGGAGAACGGATGCATTCATGAAATAAAATATCTACCTACGTAGATATTTTATTTCATGAATGCAGTCGGTGATGCTTTTTTCAGCAGCAATGGAAAAAGTCCCTTGATAAGTCTTCGGAAAAAGAAAAAAATAATGCTAAGAAAATTCTTAAGTTTGAGTGTCACTAAAAAACTTTGTGCTCTCAAGTTATCAGTATAAAGAGTTAGCTGATAAATTAATTATAAAAAAAGGGTAGAATGTCTCTCTAATTTTGACAACACATGTTGAATCAAATTTTTAATTGGGAATAAAAAAAATTTGTTTAAATCAAGTTTTTTTCTTCTTTAGCATCATGTTGATAATTAAAAAAGTAGGAAACTTGAGAGTTTAAATCTATTTGATCTATAATTTGCCAGTAATCATATAAAAAAAAAATTTATTTCTAGATTATTGTCGATTCAATTTCTTAGATAAAGACAAAATGCTTTTCAATTTATATTCAAAATTTTTTTCTACAAAATATGTTTTCCTTTTTAAAACCTTAAAATGTAATCGGTGTCAATTAAATTCTGTACATATACTAAATAAAATGTCAAATCTAAAAAAAAGAAAAAAAAAGTGGATTATCTCATTTAAAATGTAAAAATACCATCTACAACCATGATAACGAGCATGTATTAGAGCCCATCTCTAGTAATACATCAATTTCTACTTAAAATTATTACACAAATTTAGCTGTTACATATCAGGAGTTAAAATTGAGTGCCCTATAAAAATAAATTTCATTTTAAAATTACATATTATATTAACATCTGAAAAAACTACTTAAAAATCAAATCATTAATGAAGCTTTAACATATTCTCTTGCTTTAGAATATAAGAATCTTTCATTCTGATAAATTCTAACATTATGGTAAATATTTTTTTTCATCTTTAGTAGTAATATTATTATAATTTCAAAAAAATTTTATTTGGGGGCCTTTTTTAGACTGAAAAAGGATTTTACTATGTTTTATTCTTATTTCTAGCAGCAGCACTTAATGAGTACAACATTCGCCGGAGTGCAAAAACACTCCAACAAACTCATCTAAAGCAACAGCAAATTAAGCTACAGAGAATACGTGCGAAATTTCCAAATTTATTCAGTAACTAACAAACATATTTTTATTTCGTTTAAGTTATTGAAATTTGTTCCGAACTTTTATTAGAAATTTTTAATTTCAAATATACATAAGAATCATTAAAAAACTTCTTCAAAGTTAAGTCTTTCAAAATTCAAATCTGAAAAATACTTACATTTTAAACAGTAATACATTTTCACTGATAAAAGAAAAAATCAAAATATTAGTTAGTTACTGAATAAATAAATAAATTCTGGACACATAGTTCTCATTTGATTCACGCAAAAGAGATAAATTCCTCTTAAAAAAAAACCTGAAATCCTTAACTGAATAAATAAAAACTTTATAACAGTAATTGCAAAATAGGAATCTTTGAATAAAACTTCAAAACAACGCTTTGAAGTTTTATTCAAATAGATATTTTTTTACAAATGATATTTTAACGATTGGTGATTCATAAAATAAAGAATTTGTTACTTTTCAAAAAACAAATTTTCTGTTTCCAAGTTTCCTTTTGGTTTAAAACTGATATCTGAAGAGTTATTATTCAAGAAAGCTTTTTCTAGAAATTAAAAACTTCCATATAATTTTTTGACTGGTTAGCAGGGATGATCAATTTATGTGAGGGTAGAAATTGAAATACACAGTTAAAATAGTTCTCAAAATTTCACACTTGAAAATAACGAAATTAAAAGCATTTCTTCTATATAAGAAATTTTTTTTCTTCGCTTGTTTTTAACTAAGCTAAATTGAAATCAACCATAATTTGTGAAAATTGCTTTGATTTACTTGAAAAAGTAAGGGGCACTTTGTCAGATTTCTAATTATTGAAGTCGACATATACAGGGTCGGCAAGTTTTTGACAATTGACAGTTTTACTCGGTTTTATTATATGTAACTAAATAATTCATTTTTTGTATATGATAATATATGAACTACTTGAATGAATCTTTAAAAATGTTTATAAACAGTAAATCCTACTTTTGATTGATTTATTTTTTAACCTCCAAAACTGAAGTATGGTTGAAATACTGCATATCTATGTATATAAAATGACTCTCTGTTCTCATGGTTATGGGATAGCAAATTTCTGGTATCAACAGAAATTTGCTATCCCTGTATAAATCGACAGTTGAAATAACCATGTATGAAAAAAATCAATTTTTTTGCACAATCTTTCAAAAAGTAGGAAGAATTTTCAATTTTTTGTGATCAATCAGTTTTTTGNAATATTTAGAATGCAGTTTCTAAGCTTTTGCACAATATATACACTTTAAAACATAACACTAATATTTTCATTAAGTTTCAATAGTTTGTAAATATTTAACTTAATATTTTACTGTAAAAAGTATACTTATCAACGGATGCGGGACTCCGTACAGTATCTTTATGAAAACCAGTACCACTGGTACATATCAAATCGTATGATTTCTTGCAGGAAAAGGATTTTCCAAAAACAATGATGAACGGGAAAGGGTTTCCCTGGTTTTCTACCTGAAAAATTATTGAGCAGACGCTCAGACTATTTCGAACAGAAGACGTTGGGCGCCAGTGTGGCCCTTGCTAGATCTCGGGGGGTTTAAAATAAGGGAAAAAGCTTAGTGCCAAATATTTTATTAGTACACAAATAGCACACGGACAAACAAACATAAATTTAATTAATTAAGAAAAGAGAAATAAAAGGAAGGTCCATTCAGTTCGATGTCTGAGCATCCACTGCCTTGTACATGGTGGCGCTGTTGTAGCTTAGTTATGTGGTTGCTACAAGCTTGATTTAAATCACCATTTAAATCAAATGATTTTTTAAAGAAATCATTGATTTAAATCAACTGACTTTTATATATATATATATTGATTTTTAAAGTTAAAAAACAGTGTTCTAAATTATTGATACTTTAATTATTTTCTTTTCTTAGTTTTAAAATTTATTTTAAATAAATTGCTGCATTAATTAATTTTAGTTAACAAAATTCTTTCTTGATGTGTGTTAAATTCCAAGTCCTTCGAAATTACAGATTAAAGTAAACATTTAATGCAGTCTTAATATAGACTTGCATAGCTGTAGAAAGTAATTAATAAACATGAAATTTTTTCCAAAAAAAGAAAAGCAAGTAATGTTAATTGAAACTCTACGTTTTGATTGAATGTATACTTCTAAAACTTGTGGTTATATTAAAAAGAAATTACTCTGATATGCCAAAAATATACTCCATATGCCTTTCAAACTCTATTTGAAGCAATGGGATTATTAACTGATAACTGGTATTTTTTTCTCATAATATGTTTACAGTATCTTTGACATTATCAGATTTTCTATAAAGAAATTTTGTGAAAAAAATTCCAATGAGTACATAGAGTTTTTAAAAAATTTTTTTTAGCTGAACTTATCTATTTTGATGTAGGATTAAAAATGAATACATTTATAAACACTATCTGATACATTTATTTTGTCATTTTAAAAATCAAGAAAAAAAAAAATTTGGTTTTCTAATTGAAACTTTGTTTTAATAGTTAAAGAACAAGGGTCTGTTCAAGCCAAATTTACTACCATTTAGCGGTACCTTCACAAATTCAACTCAAAGCGATGGTTTCACGAAATACTTTTTCTTAAAAATTTTATTTTTGAGTCTCGTAAGAAACGATACATTTATATTTTCACCATATTTTTGTGTTGATTTCCTTACATAGTTTTCAGAAATTATATCTAAGTTTTCACAAAATATGCACCTCTCAAAAAACCTAGATAGACCCCTGAAGTATTCTTTAAATTCTCTATTTCATCTAGTCTTTAAATTTTCTTCATGCATTTGTTTCAAAATGGTTGCTATGCATTATAATGAAAAATTATTTTAGTAAGTTAGAGCTTCTAAAATATTGTCATAATATAATTTTAATATTAATTTAATTTTGATTAAACATTTATAAAATTTTTTATTAATGAAAAATTAAAGTTCTTACAATGTATTTGAATAAAAATAAAAAAAATCTGATTTAAATAAAAAAAGTCCGATTTAAATAAAAAAAATCTTATTTTATAAAAAAAAAAATCACAAACCCTGCTTTGTGGTATGTTTTAAAAGTTTTCATTACAGTTTATTTTATAAAATACTCTCTAATGAATTATCTTAACTTTTCTTTTTTCTGGATGTAATATAAATTGTTTCCAAAGAAAATATTATTAGAAAATATGAGAAATTAATTGCGCACCCTGTGGCAGAATGTTTGGGCTTTCTGCGACAAACCTCTCCAGCACTAATATCTTTCTGCAAGATACTTTTAATAATAACTAATATATATGTTATTAATTAAATTTAAAGTAACAAAAACATTGTAGTTACAAAGAAAAGTGGGTATATTAAAATTGGTATTTGGGTATAATAAAATTGTATGTTTTTTTTTAAAAATGAATATACAATAATTTTTTTTATTCTAATCATCTTGGGTGATATTGTCACATTTTGTAAGAGGAAAACACACTATTTATTTATTTTTTTTTTTGCATTTTGCAAATCATCATCACATAGAAAAATAATTAGAAATCCGTGAAAGAAAAGAAAACCAAAATAAAAACTCACTTTAAAATTAATCATTCATGCTAAAATGAATCATTTCTTCCCCTCTGGGAGGGAAAAAAAATTTCTGCAGAAAAGAAATTTTTTGCTTCAATATTTTTTTCAAATAAGAATCGAAAAATTAGGAACATTTCCTTCCCCTCCAATGCGCAAAAAAGGCATCTTTTAAACATAATTAAAAAAAAAATTTTTTTTTGCAGAAAGAAAACCAAAATTTTTTACTTTCTAAAGAAAAATTCTTTCTGCGAGAACTCCGTAATGTTCTGCGACATTGTGCCGTGATTTTGCCACAGGGATTGCGTATAAGTTTTTTAGAAATAGTTTTTGAAGGGTAATTTGATAAAGATTTATTCATATCTATCTCATTGTATCAATATTTTATGTTTAACTTATGGCATTATTGGTAGTATATAAGTTGACAACCTGTTTTTTGTAAAATTTTAAAACTTTAAAATGTCAGCTTATATGGTAGGATGTATGATAGATGTGATAGTTAAAAGTATATCTCTTATAATTAGCTATTTTTTTTGTACTCTTTCGTTATCCAAGGTGAAATTGAATTCAACAATGTTTCATTTTTTAAAACGCAAAACAAATTGGACATTATTCCATAAAAATATTTAAAAAAATAAATAAATTGTTAAATTCACTTGCATTCGCCAAACAGAAAAGTATCCATTATAGTTTAAATGATACAGTTTTATGAGGAACTGTCACGATCTGAGATTAGTGCCATGAGAAACATTTCTCCACATATGAAACCAAGCTAAATCCCTAATAAATAGACCTGATCTAGAAATAGTCTGTAAATAAGAATAGGGGATGCTAAACATAGCTTTCTCTAAAAAAGAGGAAGCACTTATAGTTCATTTTCTAAAAGAGAAACTAAATATAACACTAATAAAGGTACAAAAATGGACTTAGTATATTTCTGGTTTAACATGAACCTTCCTCAGTTTGCCACTCTTCCTTAGATCTCTCAAACTCAGTAGACACATAATGTTACACAATAGACCTTTTAACAGAAAACTAAAATAATTTTTTATTAATATATTCATATTATATCTTATTCACCTTTTTATTAACTTAGTATATTTTCTTTTACTCCATCTGAATTCAGCATGCGACCTTTCTTCTTAATAGATATAATTACAATCTTTTGAAATAGAAAATAAAACTAATCTTAAATTATTTTTATTAATTTATAAAAAACATAAAAAGAAATTAATTTCAAAGAATATTTATTTATGTTACTTGCACATTCAGCTTTGCTTCCATGCAAACTTAGTAATACAACTTGTTTTACAATAGACTAAATGATGATTAATCAAACTTTTTAAATAATAAAACTAAAATCATCTTTTTATCAACTTAAAAGTAAATAGAAAAAAAAGCTAATTACTAATTTCCAACAATATTTTATTTATGAAATTTGCACATCTATCTTTTCTTCCATGTGAACTTAGCTCTACAACCTTTTTGACCATATATCTTTCGCCCTCTCACTCTCCTATCTCTCGTCAACAGGCCGGCTATTCTCATTTTTTCGACATCATCGGGCACGAAACTTCTCAAACACAATGCGATACCCAATCGTATTGCTCCCGCTCTTGCTTTCTCCCCATTTCCAGTTACATCAACCTCAATGTCAACCAGACCTAACATTTTGGTGAACACAAGGGGATACATAACCTGTTCTCTGTCTTCCAAACGATCTAAGTAAAATACATCACCATCGTTGATTTTGACTTTACCAGTACCATTGCCCCTCACTGTCACTTTAGCATGGCAGAACTTTCTTATACCAATGGCCTCCATGTAAGGCCGGCCATTTTCATCGTACATAAGGTCTGGAACTTCAGTCATTGACACAATGTCCTGTAATTCCCGTCTGTATTTACATATGTCTTCCTTAACCCGAAATGAATATGGGTGACTGCATAAGCGTTCCAGAGTTTGAATGAGAAATGAATATTCCACTTCATTGATGTTTTCTAGAAACATATTTTTCATTTCATCGATTGAAAACCATTCTCCTCCGCTCAGATTTAAGAGTTTTTCTGGCGGTGGTTCTAATATACCTCTGGCTATCATTTTATCTTCAAACTGATCAAGCTCGTGAAACTTTCCAACAATTTGATGCAAAGCTGTATGGTAATTACTTTTTCTCGTGTAAAAAAATGGACTAAACGGTCGGCCATCCATATCAAACTGAGCTGCTTTTTCTTTAGGAAACATTTGGGCAGGTGGTTTCATCATCGGTCTTGCTTTCTTTTCATATAATCCAGATGGTAAGAGATATGCAATGGCTTTGTCCACGTCTTCTTGTGTCATAGTTCCAGCTTCTAAACCCATCATGTTTGCTAAATGCTGCCGGCCTATTTCATACTCGTCGCTTTTCACTTTTAAAAAGTTTTCATAGTTTTTAGCTCTTTCCAAGTAAGCTTTCATAGCTTTATTGATTGTTTTGACACGAAGAGCAGCAGAAGAACTTGAAACTGCAGCTTTTAAAATAGGAATATTATCAGGAAGAGATGTTGCAACTTCCGATTTAAAACGTTGAAAAACTGAGCAGTTACATGGCACGAACACTGAACGGTGTAACTTGGAGGCACATACAGCACTGCGATTGATACAGGAAATCATTTTCAAACTTGATCGATTTAATAAACTTTAGAATACTACTTTCATAAGTATGTTAATAATCAATGCACATAATGTTGCAATTCAATCGTGCGTAAAATCCAACAATTCCAAAAAAAACTTTTTATAATATATAAATTAATGAAGAACTTCTGTCAAAATACAGATAGTTGAAGAATTGACAAGCTTAATCATTAGTTTAAAAATAATTTTTTTTTAGTTTCTTGAGTTATCATTTGGTGTTTATATAAGATGGAAGCCGCTTCCAGCGGCGTGTTTCTGTCTAGTTCAAGATCTCCTAGGTTTAATGAAAATGACGGTTACAGCTCAAGCTATTTAAAGCGAAACTCTCAACTCAACTATCTTGCTTAATTGAAATGAAAGGAAGAAAAGCAGCTGATTAGCTAATAGCTATGTCAAGTTTATATTTGTTATGACTTAAATTTGTCATTAGAATTTGTGTATTTTTTTAATTTGTGCACTATTATTGCACAAAAAAATTGTAAAATCATTGGATTTATACGTACGTAGCTCTAACATAATGTCTGCACACGAGCAAATGCGAGCTATGCTGGATCAATTGATGGGAACCGGCCGTGATGGTATAGTTTATTTTTAAAGGAAAATGTTCTCACACCGATTTATGAATAAAATTTTATGAAAACAAAATGTAGTAATCATATTCATTGTAATTTTATGCTGAAATTTGCACTTTTTCATCACTCCAATATTTTAGAATTATTCCCCATTTTGTTAAGCTTGTTATTCATGACTATTTACGAATTCTAAATGAGCGCGATAGGATTAATTTCGATATCATGTTTTCTATCTGGTTGTTAATTTGTGTAAATACTCACAGAATTCGAATTAAGGTGATTATTTAAGTTGGGTTAATAATTTATTTTTAGTAAAATTGAGTTTTGAAGCTCAGTTCGTTATCATTTCAGTTAATTATTAATTTTAGCATTTGTGAAATGTTTTTCTCAGAAGAATAAAAAAAAATTACTATCCTATATTTCACAACTGTTCACTATTTTTTGTGTACCGTAAAATTAACATTTAAGGTATTTTTGGTAAATATTATGCTGAAACTCAATTCTGAAAAACTTAAAAATCTGATAGAACCCTGTGTTTTTACTGAAAAAACCCAGGTTTTTTAGAACCCTAATCATTGGTAATTCTTGCTCATAATAAAGCAATTCAATTCTGGTAATTACAATTGGTAATTCTTGCTCTGTAAATAGAAATTGAAAACTATGTAATTTTTTTCTTTTAAGTAACTGATTTGTTTACTGTTATCACTATGTATTTTGATAGTAATCATAATGTTATTTTTAACCACCAATAAGAAAAAAACGGGGGTATTTTTGAAGCGTGATCTGTTGCGCCAATTACAATCGCCAAGGTGCTAAATAGATTTATGGGGATGGCTTTGAGTTGGTCCCTTTCTGTAAAGTTTTTTTTTTAATTTCTCGCTTTCCAATGCCTGGAAATTTTCAAAACTTGGCGATTATTCTGCCACAGATCACGAAACTGAAATCTCCCCAAAAAAAACTAAAAAAAAAAGAATCATGTTTGATTATTGTATTTAATTTCAGGTGAGAATAATAAGTTTAAAGTGCATTTCACAGATCCAAGAGTGTGTAAGAGTTTTTTGCTTGCATGTTGCCCACACGACATCCTAGCGGCCACTGTAAGTATTTCAACCTGTTGGGTATGGGCAGGTTAATCATTGATTAAGTTATATATATCTCATGTCATGTAAATAGTTCTTCCAAGAATTTCATTCTAATTCTAGATATTGAGATCAAATTTGTGTGCCAATTAAATACTTTCTCATGTGTCAAGTGTAACTAGTGATTTTAAAGTTGGGGTTTTTGTATGAATGTATATTTTATTTTTTATATTTTTTTTATTATTTTACTGTCTCATTTTTAGCAAGATTGAAGTTGTGTTACAGGTATTATATAAATTTTTTTTTGATTTATAATATGTGATTTAGTTTATAAAGTTACAGTTCTTAGATAAATTTGAGCAATTGAAATAAATTGAGCTATGAAAAATTTAATTCTTTTATTTCTTTTCTCATTACTGTTATTTTTTTAAACTATGACTCTTTTTTCAATATTTAAAAAATATCACTTTTTCAAACAAAGGAGCTTTAAATATTAAAGAAGATTATGCATAATCTGTATGAAACAAAAAGGACTGTAAAGCTTCTAAGAAATTATAATCTATTGTATATTTTCGAGCATATGCTCATCTTGGTATATAAGAAAGAACTCTTTTTTTTAAAAACATTTTCCTAAAATCAAAAGCCATATAGATTCCAACATTAAAAGAATAGTAACAGAATAATTTTTGTCTATTTTGATCATTAAATAATAATATCAGTTTATTTAAATCAATTAATTAAATTCAATTTTCAATTAATTATTTATTAATTAATTTTTTTAAAAGTTTGCCAACTCTGATGCATTAGTTCAGAGTTTTTATAAATTTTGCTTATGTTTTCTAAGAAATTCCCCTTTAAAATATTTATTATTTACGTTTTTTTAATTTTTTTTATTGATTAAATTTTTTAAAATCAGAGGGTATTTAAGGGTATCCTGAGGGATTTTTGTTTATCCTTCCGGTTTTAAAAATTAAGAGCAGAGCATATGATTTTTTTGGGAATATTGTGGAATTTTGATTTTCTCAAGAACATAGGTTCTCAGACTTTTGGTAATCAAAAACTTATAATCCGAGGAAATTTTACCAGAATTCCTTAATCCAAAATTAAAATTTTCCCTAATTACTGCTAATGAGATGCTTACATACACGTGATTTTTCTGCCAATGGGCAGAAATCTGCTGATTGATTCTTTTAATTTGGCGGATTTTCTCCATTTTGAATATTTGACACTGTGCTGAAATCTGCTTTTATCACAATTCTCATTCACATGGTTTGAATATCAAGCATCTATTTTCTCATTTGCCTAATTTAAGTTACACACTGTGATTTGTATTAACATAGTTTAAAACCATACATCGCAATTAGTATCACACAATTTTAAAAATCCTACGTCGCAATTCTTGTAAGAACTGAGATTTTTCTCAATTTAGTTACTATGAAGGTGTGATAGTCATCATTGGTGGGTAATTTAGTTATAAATTTTATTAAAAAAATTATGTTAAATACAAAACAAGTAAGGTATGTAAATTGATCTAAATTTTTTCCCCTTAAAATTTTCAGGGTTTTTCACTTTGTATCGCTATCACTCCTGTTAAATAAGTAAAAGTATTCAATTTTGTCAGTGAGAAAGTATTTTTGGCATTTACAAATTCATTTTTATTACACATTCGGATTTATGGAGACTTGGAAGTACTTTGTTGATTATGTATTAATTTACACTCTTTGTTAAGAAACACTTCTAAAATCAAGTCCTTTTTTAATTTTTTAGAGATAAATACATTCTTAATAGAAGTTTGGTCTTTCACGTGAGTATTAGATTAAAATGGAATAACATCTTCCTCTTCATTAATGATCTTTCTTTTGGGTAGTGTTACCTAATTCTAAAGTTTACTTCAATAGGCAAAATTTTGATGGGTGAGTAAGATAGATAACTTAGATTGAAACGCGAGTAATGGTTATTATTTTAAAACTTTTTTTCTTCTTCTCCTTCTGAGATAAGACCTTGTTTGTTGAATAACATACTTACTAATTTATCAATATTCTTTTATAGGAATTCAGTTTCAAATCCATTTAACTTTAGCTATGCAAATATTTGGTTTTAAAACTGTTGTATTTTTTTAAAAGCAATTAAAAAAGAATTAAAAATAAAAAGTTACAATACACTGAATGATCCAAACATGAACGTCACAGATGTCCATATTTTTGAGAGGGACAAAATTAAAGTAGAAAGTAATACTAGTTTTTTTAATTCTGCTAATATCAAAATTAAATCTGCTAAATGTCTGTAAAAAGATCAATCTGTTCTTATTTTTAGTGCGTTTAAATGGGTGATTGAGAATTTTTTTTTGTCTGAAATAATGTGGGGACTTTTAGAGACGTAAGAGTTAAGTGGTACATACATCCCCTCTCTTGCAAACAATGTTTATGGCTCACAATCACGATATGCCAGGGGTCTGTCCAGACATTTTGTGAAAGGTCCGTTTTTGTAAAACTGTGAAAAAATTACTCGTAATTTGTGAATATAAAATGAACCTTAAGTTTCATTCTTTCAACCAGGGTCCTGCTTTTGTGAATTTGTGCAAATAGGGTCCTGTTATCGCAAAAAACTTTTTCAAGGAGTTTTTAAATTGTAAAGACATACAAGATCATGCTCAACACTGTAAAAAAAATTTTAAAAAATAAACAGCAATTGCTACTACTAAATTAGCGATGCAACGTACAAATATTTGGTATTTAGCCTATACTGCTGAATGCAGGATATTCATTTCGGACGAATAAAGAAAGAAGCGTCTGCCGAAAACAAAACTTAGCTCGTTTACATCTGTCTTTCTTTCCCCTCCTTCCTGGGAAGGGTTTATTCGATTAACAAAACAATAAAGAAATTTGTGAAGGGTCTGATTAAAAGATAAATTATTTTGTGAAGGGACCATTTTTAAGTTAAAATATTTTGTGAAGGGGCCATTTTTATGGAAAGATTTCTTGAATGGTCCGTTAACGGACCCAAATTTCTTCTAAACAGACCCCTGAATATGCTATTTTGTGACAGTAGCATGAAATCAAAAATTATGCCATCTCTTAACATTGTTTGCTGGCCCGAAGACCACTCATAATTATTTTATGCTGGTCGGAGAAAAAATATAGTGGTCCCTGACCACAGTTAATTTAAAGCTTGGTTTTTATTCTAATAGTCTCAAAATTTAATATTTTGTGAAAAACTTACAAAGAAATGTAACACGAATAATACATTTCTTTTTTTGCTATCTTTCTTGCTCACCATTAATTGTGTTCAACTTATTAGTTTGAAATCCAGCCTGAAAAAAAAAGTTTTCTATTCAAAATTATTATTCCATTTTCCTTATGTGGATGATCATGCCATTGGTAATTGCTGGGCAATTATACCAACCAAGTGTTTTGCTGTTAAAGGGTTAAAATTACAATGGATTGTGGTGAGTAACCAAACAACTTTGAAACATTTTGAAACGAAGAATTCCTAAATCATTATGAATTGTAATATTTTGCCGTTATTAAAATATCTAATTGGTAATACTCACTTTAAAAAAACGTAATTTTTGCTTTTAAAGCAATTTATTATTTTTAATAAGGAACGCCTACCTATTTTAAAGTGACATTTATTAGTTATTTTTCATTCATTGTCAAGCATTAAATTTTTTTTTTTTAAATCATCATTGAAGTTAATAGATTTTTTTTATTTATTTATCGTTTATACATATGAACTACTTATCCCAACTACTATTGCAATTGATTGAAAAATGGTAAAAAGGTTATATAAACTGAATTCTTTCTTTAGTATTATTTTCCCCCTTGTTTCTTTCTTTTTTTTCTTAAAGTGCTTTGGCTGTTGTATTTCCTGAAATATATAGTCTATCATAAAGTTTTAAATTAACTTTGTTTACCATAAACTACGTATATTTTTTTATAGCGCCAAAAAATATTTGTTAATATTTTTTTAATGATTTAATGTTCTTCAAAATTTGAGATATATAATCCAAGATTAGTTAATAAAATAAATGAGTTGATTAAGCAAAAAAAAAAAGTTAATCCTATTACTACCTAGACTCTGTAATTAGACAGTAAATCTAATTAAATAGCTAAAAATTGCTTATTTTAAGGACTAACTTTTTGTGTTTTTTTAAATTGCTTTTTGAATATTAGAAATTAGTGATTTATTTTTTTAAAATTAAGTTAGTTGTAGGTTTCATTCAGTAACTGTATTTTTTTAATAAGCTTTAAACTTAAATTACAATGAGCTTATAACTTTTATTACTATAATCATTAATAATAAAATTTGTTTTTTTTGAAAATGCATTAACAGATTAATTTTTTATTTAAATGAGAACTTTATTTTTCATTCAATCTATTTTAGTTTAAAGCTGTATTATTTTTCATTCTTTAAGTGATATTTTACTGCCTCTAAATATTTACAAAAATCCAGCAGAATTTTTTATTAAGTATTTTAGATATTTATCTTGTCATTAGTATGAAATAATATTTTTTATTTATGGCCTTTTTCAGAATCATTTTTCTTTTATGAGTCAAATCTGACTTCAACCTTTATCCATCCTCAATTTTTCTTTCATTCAAGGGAAAAAATATTCTCAGAATTTTTTTAAAATGTTCTAATTTCTTCTACTGATTTTAGATTTAGATGCTACTTATTTATTTGAACAACAAAGCAACTTAAGAATCTAATAGTTTTTAAAAGACATTTATGATTCTTCAGAAGCAGTGGTTCTCCAAATTTTTTCTAGTCAATATTTATTTCCTTGAAAAGAATTATAACCAAATATTGTGAGCGTTATAGATTTCTGAATAGAATAAGCTACAAGATTTTGTACTTATTAAAGTACTCCCTGCCACTAGGACTGGGCTCTGTAAGACATTTTATATAATGATATAGCGTCTGTTAGACATCGCCATATAGTGATGTATCGTGATATAACATATGTTCAAAAATTATTTCTTTTGAACTACAGAAATTTTAAATCAATTAAAAATGAATAAAAGAAGTAAACTAAAACAAAAGAAAATTATAATTATAAAAAAATGCTTCTATAGCATTAATAGCGTTGCTTAAGTTTTTAAATAGAATAGTAAAAGTGAATTGACGTAAGAGGGATGTTTTAAAGTAAAATCAAACACAACCTTTGTTTTAATTTTTTTTAAAATTTAAAAATGATTTAAGATTTATTGGTCTGAAATTAATGTTAAAATTTTAACAAACTATTTTACTTACATGTATTAAAAAAAAATGAAAAAACACATCAAAATTATTGCACACTTTAGTAAAACAATTTTTAAATTATTAGTTAAAAAAAAAGCATTCGTTTGGAACATCATTATTCTATTATTTAATTTTTTAAAATAAGTTCGATTGAATGATGGTCAAATTCACTTCATAATAAATGTAAGAATAAATGTAAGTTTTGCATTATTTATTAATTATTATTTTATTTATATATATAGATTTATTTATTTTCTTTTGAAAACAAAATCCACTTAAGGTTTAAAAATAGTCATCAAATTCTATCTAATTATTATACTTAGGTGCATTAATTAATTTAAAAAAAAACTTTTTGTAACAAAGTATAAACTACTTAAATTTGAAATACTGCTATTAAATTGTATTGCTTAAAATGATGAAGAAAAAAACTATGAAGAATCTTAATTTATTCATAATTTCTTTTCATTAATAGATTGAGTTCAGAACGATTAGTCTTGTACTAACAGATACCACTGATAATCTCAAGCTCTAGGAGTAAATAATGATCTGGATCACTAGAATTTAATTGCATTCAGTTTGGAATTTTTTTTAGCTTTAATGTGTAATTCGTTTATGATACTGAATTCTTAATAAATGTTATGATTCTTATTATACCACGTATGACTAAATTTGGCACCTACCTGAACGTAACTTTGGGAATCACTGCTGTATTAAAACATATATAAAATAATTCTATCAACTTGAGGTTATGCTACATTTACAAATCTTTTTCTCCTCATCTGTAGTGCACTTAAATTTAGCTGATTAATTTAGGCAACCAGTTACATTTAATTCTCAAAGTGTAGTATGGTTGCTGCTGAGTTGAGAAGTAAACATAAAATAATATTGATGAAAAAACGCTATTGGGTATTGTGTTGCATTGTTATTCACTGCTTATCGTTTTTCCTTGAAGGCCTCATCACAAGTAGAAGATATGTTTATGAGCCTGTTGTGGGTCACCAAACTTGTTTCTGCTCTTGGTAAAAACATGTGCTTTTGTTATGCTTGTTGCTTTGTTGCCATTAAGCTCTACAGAAAAACATCCAATTAAAATATGTATAGGTGAAAATGTTCTGTTCAAATTGTGAATGTTGTATTATTGTAAATGAAAGGAATGTGTGAGCATATTAAATTATGATCTGTTTAAAAAATCCGTTTGAAAAGGTATTTTAAATACGAAATCAAATTGAAACCTAATAGAGCATTAAAACAACGTACATTCAATATTTGTCCTCAAATTTATCGATGGAAAGGAAAATCTGCTTGAAGACGTAGCATTGAAACGAAATCAATGTCAAACCTAGAAAAGCATTAAAGTAACGTTCGTCAAAAATTTGTTTTCAAATTTATGGAGGAAAAAATAAAAATAGAGAATTGTGCTTGAATTGAAAAAGAAAATAAATCGAAATCGAAGGAAAGAAACACGAATGCAATACTTCTTCAAGGGGGGCTCCCTACATGCCTTCATGTTTGAACTTTTCTGTGATGAACTGTTTAACAAAAAAATAATGTTGCATATTCAGAATTATTCTGAAACACAAATGTAGCATGGAAAGGGAAATAAATGTCCGTCGGAGTCATTATGGACTGAAGAATTATAAAAATTTTTTTTTTCCCCCTAAATAATAATGTCTACTAACAATAACTCAAAAGAAGACTGTATTATTCACTTGTATTGCATCAAACTTTATGAATATATTTCAATTTTTATTTAATTTTGGCTTTTCTGTTATTTATTTTCTTATTAATATTTAAATTTGTCAAGGAAAGCAAAAACATTTTTATTAGAATGAATTTAAAAACAAGTCCAGTATTTTCTTTTTCCATATATTTTCTTTTTAAAAATATTTCTTTTGAAATAAAAGCCTGTGCATTTATTTTATAACTTTTTTGTTTCTATAAACTTTTCCATATGGATTATTAAGTATGCAATCCCTTGTCTAAGATATAATAATTTATGATAAAGCCTATTGAAATGTTTTGAATTTCACAAGAGTTTGATTAATATTTCATCTTAATTGCAATTGATATTTAATGACATTATAATGTTTTATTTGTTCTGATACTCAAATTAGGAGTTTTGACATCTTCTTAGTTAGGTTGAAAATGATAAGGTGAACATTTATTGCTTGTTTCTCCATTTGAATAGGCTGTTCATCTAGATCCGGAAAAAGTTTGAAATAGTGTTTCCTCAAATAAATAATTAGATAAATTCCTTGGGTGATTGAGTGTGGTCTAAAATTCTTTATTATTCGTATTTTAACTTTTTGTTTATAAGAAAAGGTCTTGATTTAGATTTCACTAATATTAATTGGAGGGGAAATAATTCTTTCTATTTTTGGTGAAACAACTCAATTTTAGATTAAATTATGAATAAAGCCTCATCATCTAAACTTAGGAGTTTATATCCTATATTTTTTCCTTGTTAAATGTTGTACCCAAGCAGCTTGTTATACATTAAATTTAAATTGTTATTTTCAGAAGATTCCATTTTTATCTCAATATTGTAGCTCGATGATAAAATATTGTAATGGTTAAAAATAATAAATATTCACTATTTTGTAATTAATCTAATAATTAGAATTCAAATTGTTAAAAATTGCCCAAAATTGATGTCTTATAGTTTGAGGAAGGACTGAAAATGTTTTTGAGAAAAATTCTTAGATGAATACTTAATTTCTATTACACTTTAAATTTTTTTCAATTGTAAGAATTTAAAATTCCATGGATTCAGCGAGCAAGACTTTAAAAAAAAAGTTAATTTTTGCTTAATGCAATACTGCTTTGTCTATCAACGGCCTATCAAGGTGTTCGGGAAAATATTTGTAGCACCAGGAGTGTTGAAGGGGGGGGGGAGAATACACCTGTTCGCACATACAAGGTTCAGAGAAAATTTGTGTAGACCTGGGGAAAATTTAGAGCTTAGTTAAAAAAAAATTAAAAATGTGTCACTTCATAAAATTTTTTCTTTAAAAAAAGCTTAATGTGTTGATTTGTTTATTTATTAGTTTGTATATCTTAAATTAATGTGTAAAACTTTAAATTGAGTTTAATAAATTATTTCTAAATTTAAATTATTTCAATATCTTGTGATTTCTATTCTTTATTACATGCTAGTTAATTCCAGAGCTGTTTAAAGTCAAATTTTTAAAAAAATATTATTATAAAAAATTTTCAACAGTATTTAAACTTTTCTTTCTAAAAATATTTTGAAAAACTTTTAGTATCTTTAAAAATAAATAAAAAAAGAAGAAAGGAATAATTTTGGGAAAATTTTCAAACCAAATTAATCGTGTCCTATAGTCTGTTCAACGAGAACTGATAGCGAAAGTAAACAAAGCGGCGTGCTATTCTTTTAGTATCTTTAAAAATAAATAAAAAAAGAAGAAAGGAATAATTTTGGGAAAAATTTCAAACCAAATTAATCGTGTCCTAGAGAAGTATTAGGCTCTAAGAATTTTCTGTGTCCCTGGAGTGTTGTAGATCCAATAAATGGTTAAGAAAGACTCAAAGTTGATTGAAACTAACTTAACACATTTCCTCTTAAGTTTAAATAAAACGAAATTGAAGTTGACATTTCTTTTTGATGTTTAAATGAATAAAAAAAATCGAAGTAACTCATTTTCTCTTGAAGTATAACTTAAAAACAATAAACGTAAATCATTTTCTTACCTTTATTATTCATTTTTTTAAATTACAGCCTTTATTTCTGATAATATTTGCTGTCTTGGGTATAACAAGCACCCTGATTTAAAGAGCCAATTGGTCCTTCATTATATTTGAGCTTGACTGCTTCTTATTTTAGATTTATCTAATTTTACTGTTTTCTCTCTTCTCATAGCACATTATTTTTTCTAAGAAAATTTTTTTCGAATTTCTTTTTTGAATAGTAAATTTTTGAATAATTTATTTTGCCTTCATGCTAATTTGAAGTCTGTTTGTAGTTCTTTTCCCAGAATCTAGGCACATTAAATTTTTCGTATTAATTCTTTTTCAAACTTCTTATCTAAGAACACATTAGGAAATCTAATGTGAAATATGATTTTCTTAAAAAATCAACTTGCTTCTCATTTGCATGGCATAAATATCTACCATTCATGTGCATTTTTTAATTTTAGAAGAAATAAACTATTTTTTATTCCTCTCACACACTATTGCGGTTACATGCTTTCAAAGAATTTGCTAAAGAATGTTCGTGACATGTTTTCTTGCTGTCATAAGTTAGTTTAAAACGCAAACCATATGTGATTTTTTTAAAGAAAAAAATATATGCATGTATCTCATAGTTATAGATACTGTTTACTTTATTACAGTTTTTCTGGAAGGTAAGTTTTTACAGTTTTTATATTTTAAAGCTAATCCATTATTTTATGGATGAAGAATATTCCAGCCATCTGTTTCCTTCCATAAAGGGTCCAAACACTACAGTTGTAGAGCTTAATGTGCAGCATTTTATTATGCCAAATCATGATTTTTAAAATAGTTTTTAATGTAAAATGTTAATTTATCTTTTATAGCGGATGGATTTGGGTGAATGTCCCAAGTTGCATGATTTAGCCTTAAGAGCTGATTTTGAAAATGCTTCCTTGAAGAAAGATTATTTCTATGATGTGGATGTAAGTAGCTTTATCAGTTATAAACTCTGTTATGATCTTTATTTTCAGATGAGATCGGCTCTAATATTTTTGGCCTCTTTTCACTTGTCAGCAAAAATATGAAAATTACAAACCCTCTCCCATGAGCTTTGGTGGCTCAGGGGATAGAGTCCTCACCTCCCGATGAGGTGCCCTGGGTTCGAATCCCAGCAATAGCTGGTCGATACGACTTCTGCCCAAGCCTCACAACAATCACAGTGCCAACGTAGATTTTCTACATTGGTATAGGGAAATGGGTCTGAGTCTCCTTGACGTCAGGCTAAATGTTAGAGGTTTTCATGGTTTTTTCCTCTCTCTGCTACACAAATTTGTGTTAGTTCCATCAAAAAAATCCTCCATGAATGCAAATTTTTCCCAATACTTGATCCAGGAGCTTCCTTGAGTTCTGGATTGGGTTCTAAATTACCCGTACAGAGTTGAACTTTAGTAGCCAGCTGTAAATTCAAAAAATTGGTTCGGTTGTTTGACAAGAGTTATAAAATGAAATACCTTAATCAGAATAACAGGTTACAATTGGTTCAACTCAAAATTGGGTTTGCTGTTCAATAATTGGTGATAAAAATTACAAAAAAAAAAAAAAAACTACCCTTTTCAGTGCGTACATAAGAAAGGCAGGCCCCTTTGGTTTTCATATTTTCACTGTAATGTTCTAGTTCTAAGAATTTTAGGATTACATTGAAATAAAATATGTTACTTTACATGAAACAAAATTTATGTTTAACTTCATTTTACAAAATTTTGGAACTACTCAAAGAAATGTCTTATTTTAATATTTTAATTCTCTGCAGCAGAATTTCCAGAACGGACATTCAACACCAACTTCTTAAATCCAAACTTTCCTCCAACCTTAATGCGATCAGGCAAATTTTTTTATTCTCAAAATTCAGCTTAGTCTGTAGTATGTGTGACAAAATAAACAAAAAAATATATCATTATACATAGAAACTATGTTGTTTATATTCAGGTTGAATTTTAAACAATGATACTAAAATAAATTGGAAAAAATTTCTATACTGTTAAGCCTGTAATCATTTAAAAAAAATTATGTTTTGTTCTTTGCTATGTTCTCTCAATTCATTTTTTAATTTTATTCTAAACAAGTTTAGAGATATTTAAAAATGGAGACTCAGTGATTTTTATTCATTTCTTAAACAGTATTTTTTAATTCTTTTTATTTTTAAATTTGATGAAAAATAATTTGTAGTTACACAGTAATAATCTGCAGTGCCCGCTGCTATGCTTTAGGGTTTCAACTATTTGGGTTCGAATTTGAAGTTCATCTAAATTTTGGTATATTTTTTTGCTTTTTAAGTAAGATTTGAATATAAGGGTATTGTTGGATCTTACCTCAGTATTATTTATATCTCCTCTTCCCCTTGTCAGCAAAATCAAGCTAATGACAGCCCCTCTTCTCTCTTTAGGTGCTTATGTTACTTAGGTAATGCTTGAACAACCCCATCATTCAGGAGACTGTTTTATTTCATGAAAAATGTATCATAGGTAATTAAGTTGTGCCAGTGTATTGTGCTGCATTGTAGGAAAAATTTCATGTAGAGCACTCTCCTTGTATACTAAGAAAAAAAATTCATGTAAAAATATGTCTTATCTTATTATATAAAACGCTAATACGTACATATGTATGTATCAATAAAACCGATGATATTTCTTTTCTCGCGCTGGCAACAGTTTTCATTTTTAATTGATTGGATTCGGCGCGCAAGAGCACGTAGTGAGCAACCAGATAACAATAACCAGAGTGAGCATTATCAGGTTGTTCAATTCAGATTCATGCACTAAAAACATGACAATATTTAATTTAAACTCAATTAGGAATTAATTAATTAATTGAAGTGAGAATGCTTTAAAAGGCCGCTGTTGAATTGATATTTTTCTACTGGGAGCTACCTAAACGTCTAAAAAACGTTTAAGTGTTTGTATTGAATGCATTGAATTTTTTTATATTTCGCGTTTATTTATGCATTGAATTTTCACGCTTTAAAATGCAGAATATTAGTGAAGCAATATTTGATAATTTATTTTGCTAATATGTTTCTTATTTAGCTAATGTTTTGATTTTTTCACCATGTACAATCTAAATAGCTAATATACTTTTTTAAAAGCCAATAAGAACATTGGTAGAATTCTTCTACATAAGTACAATACTATGTCTTTGATGATAAAATACTATGTCTTTGATGATAATATATTATGTCTTTGTGCTAGAACATTGTGTTCATTGGCGAGCGAGCGCAGCGAGCCATGGTTCACGGCGTGAACCACATAGGATTGCGTAGCAATTCTCGGAGGTTGGCGAGCGTTAGCGATCAGGTGGCGGAGCCTCCTAGTATTACTATATATAGTCCTAAACTTTTCAATTTATTTTTTATTTTTTGGCATTGCAAATAATAGGGGCATAAAAATTAAATTTATAACTTAGTGAATTGAAAAACCAATAATTGAAAAAAACAATAATAGAATTAAGAATAAAGAAAAAAACTTTACTTGGTTAATACTATGTTTGCAGATTATATGTAATAAATATGACAAATGTCAATATATACTGGTGGACATCAGAAAAAATATGTCAGGAATAATTTTCTGTTGTTGAATTTTTCCAATGCATTTTATTTTGTTAATGACAAATTACGGATATTGATTCTATTAAGTTTATATTTATAACAAACCAGTATTTCTTATTTTATTTAAGATGTTTATATTGAAAATAGTTTATAACTTAAACAATATTTTCTCCTTTTTATAGGCGATGGAACATCTACAGAATTTTATCAACGAGTGTGATCGTCGTACAGAACAGGCAAAAAGACGTCTTGCGGATACTCAGGAAGAATTGAGTGCTGAAGTAGCTGCAAAAGTAAGAATAAGTTATTGTGTTTATTTTTAATAGCAGTGTTGGAAATCTTAGAAAAGTAACTCATCTTTCTGCATGGTTCATTCTAGAACTGAAAAAGGGTTGGGTGGTGGGAACAAAAAAGGTAATATATCCCTTAAGAAAAAAAAGACACTTTTGTAAAACATAGCATGTTTTTTAAGAGATCCATGATATTCTTAAACAAATATGCATAATATACACATGTCATTTGTGGTATATTTCTACTTATTATAAATGAAAAAATTAGCATACTTCCCCTTTTCCTTCCCACAGTCAATATTTTTCTTCCTCACAAAAAGCCAAATATAAAGCAAGTCATCAGTAATAAGTAATATATCTTCAAAAAAAACCGCTTAATTTAACCCTCTGACAATTTAGCAAATGGGTAAAATTGGGAGAATATTTCTTCCCAATACACTATTTCCCTATCTAATAACATTGAAAAACCAGTTATTGCCATGGTGAGAAGACTGCAGGTTAAAATACAACTATTTATGCGCAGAGCTGTCAGTGGGTTAAAGAAGTATTTATTGGTATATACAGTCGAACCCCGCTATAGTGAACCTGGGATATAGTGAACACTCGGATGTAGTGAACTTTTTTAGCGGTCCCGTCCGTATTCCTATTTAAATAATGTTATTTTTAACGCTTATAGTGAACAGCTTAGAACTTGGAAACTCGGTTATAGTGGACTCAAATTTCATTTCTTTAAATATCTTTTTCAGTCCTCCATCTTTAAACTTGTAGGTGTTGGGACTGAAAATGAATGCATTCCTATAAAATGTGTCATATTACTCTCCTTTATGCTTATCACTTTTAACTATATTGTAATAAATCTCAAACAGATCATTTATCTTATTCTCCCCCCTCCCTGACAAGCCTCACTTTATCTCTTTTCCCCAAGCTTGCTCTATAAGTAGTTAACTTGGCCGTCTGCTGAATTTTTGGAATTTTCTTATCTGTTCAAACCATATTCTTTACAAATCACCCCTTGACAATCAAGAAGGGGAACAATTTAACTCGTTCTACAGCTGCTCTCTTCATATTCTTACATTATCTATTTGAGATAAGATTTTTAATTCAAAAGCAGTGAAAATGGCAAATTCTCTAAAGAGAAAAGCGTTTTCGAGAGATGACAAAGTTAAAATTGTAAAGCGTATTGATGATGGAACCAATCAATCGACACTGTGTAAGGAATTTTCCTTGTCAAAATCTACAGTTTCAAACATTTGGAAAAATCGAAGTGCAATTCTTGCGGCATACGACAAAAACATGGTTTCATCGAAAAAACTGCGTGGAGCTGAAAGAGAAAACGTAGAAGATGCTTTGTTAAGATGGTTCGAAATCTTGTTCATAATGTGAAAATCTTGCATTCTTTGCACATTGTAGATAAGAAAATTGATGAACTCAATTTAAAATCAAATTGTGTTCAATCAAAAATCACAAATTTTTTTCATAAAAAGTGAAAATAAAACTAATATTTAGCGATGTAATTACTTTTTCCCTCAATTTTTGCTTTATTATCTGTTAATTAGGTAATAATTTTTTAAATAACTTATACAAAATTGCAAAGCCAATTTTCAATCATTCAACTGTCTTATGCAAAAAATATTCTTCGAAAAATTTGGATATAGTGAACCATCGGTTATAGTGGACACATTACTGACGGTTCACTATAGCGGGGTTCGACTGTATATAATAATAATTTTATGAAAATAAATTTTTAAAAAAATAAGTAATTTTCAAATAAATTTTGTCCAAATTTGGTGGCTGTAAAAGGCTTGGCACTAGTTACAGTAGTCAAGAAATCACTTACAACAGAGATTTTGTGTTCTGAGAAAGATTTTCATTTTTATATCAGTCTATTTTTAAGTTTTTTTTTGTCATTAAAAAAGTTCTCTGTTTTCACTTTAAAACAAATGCAGTTTAACCTAAAAAAGAAAATTCTAACCTTTTTACATTTTCCCACTAAATTGGTATTAAAAGCCTTTTTTAAAATTAAAAGAAAGCAATTAATATGTAAAAGTCTCATTTTTAAACTTTTTCAGAATATTACCTTTTTTTTAAAAAATTACGCTTTTAGAAATCAGCTAAAATTCGTAGTAATTAATTATTGGCAAATAAAGTTGCTGCCAAAAACCTTGTCAGTTTTTTATGAAACTGTCTCTAAATGAGCATATTAAAAAGTGATCCTTAAGCTAGTGATTCAAAATTTGCTGTAGATCTATGGTATTTAATGTTATGTTAAAAGTTTAAATCATTTGGAAATTTTTTAAAAAGAGGTATATAACGTGAAGGACTTTTTGATGGAACTGACCCGCATTTGCGTTACATGGAGAGGAAAACCTCCCACGGTTAGCCTGATGGCAAGGGGACTCTTACCCATGATACCACTGAAGATATTTTACGCCAACACCGTGGTCGATGCAAGCCAGATGTAGAATTGGTATCGACCAGCCATCGCTGGGAATCGAACCCAATTCACTTCATTGGAAGGCGAACACTCTATATTGGTTAAGATATTGGCAGTTAAACTGCTATTGATCTTGTGCATCATTGTTTTATTTTTATCTAAGTAGTTCTTATATAGCAACTATTTAGTTGGTTGATGTAGCCTTGGACTGGTAGACTATTTATGATTTCATACTCTGTTTATTACTATTCAAAATATATATTTAATAAATATCTCATCTTTTAGCTTAATAAAGTTCACGAGCTTGCTGAACAAATTGGGAAAAAGTTGGCTCAAGCTGAAAAACAAGGAGCAGAAGGTAATGTGGAAGAGTCTATGAAAACTCTTGAGGAGGTGGAAGAATTTCGAAAGCAAAAATCAATGGCTGAGGTATTTATTAGATATGATTATTTTAAAAAGCAAATTGCTGCTATTGTTTTCTTATGCTATAAAATATTTAAAAGAAGATGAAGGAGATATTTAACAAAATAATATTTAACTTTCAACTTAAAAACTATGCATCATGATTTGCAGTCATCTGATTTGTAAATAACACAGTGTGATTCCTATTCACTCAATTTAAAATTCAAAAACCAGGTTTCGTGTTCTTGAGATGAAAATTGACATTTTGCAATTCATATTTATAAGTTTGAAAAAACAAACAGTATGACTCTTATTAATGCGATTTAAGGATCAAACTTTGTTATTCATTTTTCAAATGAAGCATGTTAAGTTCATTTCTAAGGATTAATAATAATTCTTGAATAAAGAGTCAACACTTTATCTAGTCTCCATATAATTCAAAGCATAACATTTTAATTTGTTCACACAGATAATCAAAAAATAGTAATTTAAAATTTTTAAATATATTTTTAGTTTTATTTTTTTATTAATTAATATTGATGTAAATATCTTCAGAATTAAGGTGTTTTTGTTTCTCGAAATAATATGGCTTATAATTTTTATTTATTTATACTTAATACAAGTTTTAAAATTTTGTGAAATAAGATAAAGAAGTATATCAATTCCTTAATTCTGGAAATTAAAACTGAAATTTGTCATTTTTGGAAAGCAGAAATTAACCACAATCAATTAAAATATATGCCCTTCTACATACTTTTTTCCCCTGTAAATGTCAGGTATTTTTTCATGAAGCCCTGCTGTATGTGTAAACTATTAAAAAAAATTTTTTTTTTCTTTTTTGAAAAATGCTGTCCTGATTTTTCTTTATGTTTGTATGAATACAAATGCCAATTTTAAGGTCTAAATGCATACAGGATTTTGTTTATGCCCACTAACTGACTAGCTATTTACGTCTGTTGCAACCTTGCATGAGCTTAATACAATTTAGTACGTTATGTTTGCATTTCTAATGCACACATTTTAACATAATAAAATTTTAGTTGTGTGCTGGTGTTTATTTGGTAATATTTCCCCCCTCTATTTATTTAATATAGAAAGACTGAGAATATGTGTATGCTGTGAAATTAGTGGTGGTATACCACTTTTGTTTTAAAAATGAATAATTTAAATAGACTTAGATTATGATATATTGCAAAGTGGCATTACTGTAAAATGCTTTCATTTTGCAGAAAATAAAATCTAAAAGTGTGTATACTATGAAAAAAGCATTTACTTGAAAACATTTTTATTTCAGCAAGAGTATCGAAATTCGATGCCTGCTTCAAGTTACCAGCAACAGAAGCTTCGTGTTTGTGAAGTGTGTTCTGCGTATCTGGGTATTCATGATAACGATAGGCGTTTAGCCGATCATTTCGGTGGGAAACTTCATCTCGGTTTTATTACAATCAGAGAGAAGTTGGAAGAATTAAAGGTAACCCTTTTATCATTTTAAATATTTGTATTTTTAAGAAATGAGACAAAATGTGTATGTATGTGTGTGTATATATATAATATGACAAAGTAACGTGGGTGAGCAAGAGAATTTTTTTTCTTCTTATTTGTCACTCATTTGAACTTTCAAATTTAGATTTTTTAATATTATGAGAAAAAATATACTCCTTAAATTTTGTTTTGTAAGTTTCCTTTAAAATATTCTTTTGTGGGAGAGGAAGGTGTTGAGATATTTTATGCCAAGTTTCTTAATTTAGGAAGCAAGACAAGAAAAATAATTTAGTAAAATCGAAAATTGTTGGAATGAAAATGAGATAAATATCTGTTTAATTTTCTGAATTTTTTTTTAATGCTACTATAAACTAATACGGTATGAGCCATTGTAGCTATTCATTCATGGATTTATTTGATTCCTTTTTTTTAATGAGTGTATATGTGTTACAAGCTACCAAAGTAAATTATTTGCAATATAACTAGATTATTTTCCATATTTTGTTAAGAAATTTATTTTCAAATTTACTTTTGAAATTTGGTGCAAAAGTAAGTACTTTTCTTAAAATTGTGCACAACTTTATTCAACCACCTATTTTATTGTTTACTTTTTTAGTACAAGATAAAACGAATGCTCTTATAAATAAATAAATAAAACAAAGCTAACGGAAAATAGTTGAATTTACATGCACCCCCTCTTGGGAAGTGTTTCGAAAACTATGTAAGGGTGTGATTGTAAATACTTACTATATGCAAATATGCTTATTCTATAAAGAATATTATACTACTTATTTTAAGAGCTCTTTTTTATTGTTCATAATTTTGAACTTTATCTGTTTTCTTCTCTATTTTCTTGCATCACACAAACCTGTTATTAGATAATGAACAATTTTTCTTCTATGTTTTCCTCTGTTTAAGAAATTACTGTTTCTTACTACAGTCACATCAAGAAGCCAACATGCTGTCTTCATAAGAGTGTCTTACTTAAATCATGTTGAAATATTGCTTTTAGTGGGGAAAATATGTTTTTTTTTGTCTCCTTGTTTCATATACTTAATGTAACCATTAATTTTATTGTGTTTTTGTCTAAATATGCGATTTTTATTTCCAACACGCCTTTAAAATCTTCTTGTTCTGGATTCTTTCCCACTAAATAAATGTTTAGCTGTCTTAAATTTAACTGGGGAAGTTAAATTTCTTTTACATAAGATTTTAAAACAAATGTTTATTTATTTATTTTTGGAAAGTAAATTAAGATTTGATTGTTAAAAAAGTAGTTTCTGGAAAATGGAGCTTTTAACTAATATGAGTTTTGTTGGTAGGCTGCAGTGAGTGAGAAGCGTCAAAAAGGCAGAATGGAAAGAGACAGAGATTACGCTAAGGATGAACGTAGCAGAGAATGGAACAGAAGCTTTTCAGAAAGGGAACGAAGTCGCAGTCGAGAACGTGCAGCCAGACGCCACAGGTACAGAATTTCCCTTGAAATTTTTTGTGTGCCCAGGGGTGATTGTACCCTGAAATTCCAGATTTATCGTATCAGGATTTTTCTGGGAATATTGCAAAATTCTGCTTATCTCAAGACCATTGGTTCTCAGGCTTTCGTTTATCAGAAACATAATTTGACAGAATTTTCAATAAAATTCTGCAATCTAATATATAAATTTTAAAACTTTCGCTAAATTCCATTAGCGAGACATTTAAGTGCATGTAATTTTGGCAGTTTCATAGATCTTCAATATTTTGAATATTTGAAACTGCACCGGAATTTGCTATTATCGTTATTCTTATTTACATGATCTTAAGTATCAAATGTTGATTTCCGTATTTACTTACTTTAAATGTTACACGTTGCGATTGGTGTTCAGACGAAAGTTCAATAGCGATATTTGTATTTACGAGTTTTTAAAATCAATTTCACTATTCTTACACGTGCCGTTTAAAAAACAAGTATTGCCATTTGTATTCGCACGAGTTTAAATCAAATGTCACAATTTGTATTCACACGTTTTTAAAATCCAATATTGCTATTTGTATTCCTGGGTTTGCAATATCAAACATCAATTTTTGTATTTATACAGGGTCGAAAAGCTTTGCAGTGCCATTCAAATTTAAGCAATCAATAAGTCATATATAGCGATTCATATTCATGTAATTTTAAAATCTAATTTCGTGATTCCTATTCTCGATGTTAAAATCCAACATTGCGATTCATATTCATGCGTATTAAAATCCTATATCACGATATTCATATTTACGGGATTTAAAAATACAGCATTGCAATTCTAGTAAGAGCTATGATTTTTTTAAAAATTAGTTACTATAAAGGTGTGATAGTCTTCTTTGGTAGGTATGCATGATATATATAAAGTGATATCTTCCACATAAAATTTTCACTTAGTGTTACAATCACACCTGTGTGTTATTTTCTTTTAACGTGTTAAGATAGTTTGTGAATCTGTATAGTCGTATAATTTTTGCTTACAAATGAATTTTTTCTCTTTTTTTTTTGTTTATTTCATTTTTTTGAGAAAAATTATTTTTATTTAAATTATTCCTATCTTAATTTAAGTTCTTATTTGAAAATATTAAGAGATATGAAAATATGTAATAAAATGTTAAAAATATGTAGAGATTTAAAGAAATATGCCGCGCAAAATGAAGATTTCAAAGCAGTATATTACACTATTTTTTAACCTAATTTTCCTTCATAAAAATAGCTTAGTATGCATGTATTTCACCAAAAAATAACCTGATTTTAGCCTAATATTTTTGTAAAATGGTGTCCTGATTTTTATTTTGAACTACTATGCAGTCTGCAGTTATGTGTTTGTTGTTCAATTCATAAGATTGCTTTGAATCGTTTAAAAACATATCTATATTTCTGATTTCTCGAGCCTACATTTCAAAACAAAGAAAATCCATTTTTGGTTTAAATGAATTTTCATGTGTTGTGGTAATGATATGGTAAAAGCTAAATTCCTTTTTTTTTTCTATGCAGGTCTCGTTCAAACTCTCGTAATCGCCACCGTCACAGATCGAGATCTCGTTCGACTGAGAGGCGGAAGCACAAGCATCATCGTCGATCCCGTTCGAAGGAACGTCACAGGTCACGAGAGACCGAAAGGAGACATCGTCGTGATAGATCGAGGGAGAAAAGCAAGGAGAAAACTAAAAGGTATTTTGAAATAACTAACAGAAAATTTTTTCCCCATTCATTATGTTATGTTTGTTAATATTTTACTCGTATAATTGCAAGGAGTAAACAAATTTGGTGTGAATCTTTTTTTTTTATTATTCATTTTTTTGTCTAAAACTAACGTATTGATTTTTCTAAAACTTGACAAAAAAAGTTTACTTTTAGTATGTTTACTTTTTAGTATTCATTTTTCTCTTAAGATGCTCTATAAGATAAGTAACTAGTTATTTATTTATTAACATTTGGGTAAAGGACCGGTTTATTTCTTAAGACTTTTTTATTGTTTCAAGAAAACGAAATTATATGAATTGTATTTATATTGTTCCAGAAAAACAGCAACGAAAAAGCATTTTTTTTTTATTTACAAAAAAAAAAAAANAAAAACAATTAACTATGTGTAAAATTATTGTATTGATTGTTTTAGAATTTGTCAAAACAAAAAAAAAATCTTAAATTAAAAGCATGAATCATTTTATCTTGTTTTATTAGATATCTAAATTAATTTTAACATAGATGTTAAGAAGTCAAGTTCACATTTTCAAATTTGAATTTTATTCAGAATTTATCTATATATATTTTAATATTTTATCTGATTTTAAAGATTCTTGAACCAGCTAATAAAAACATTGTAATTATATAAATTTAAATTTCCCAAAATCCAATCTACTAATGAGTTAAGGATTCAATAGTTGATACCTATTCAAAACTCAACTTATAATTTTTTTTTCAATTAATAATTAGTCAAACAATCAAATTTTATCTGTTAACGAAATCTTTTTTCATACTACACTATTGTATATAAATGTCCTGTTTTCAGGAGTGATTCTCGTGAACGAAGGCATTCTACTTCTAATGACAAAGAAGGAAGCAATCATGAAGACTGATTTTAATCTTCATTTCTTTATGTGTTTATTATTATTTTAATTATTTCTTCTCAAACTATATCTTGTGTGAAAAATAAATATTTGTTTTGCTTCTTTCTTTTTCAAATTGTCCACTTCTCATGTATTCACATGGAGATGATGTAACCATATGAATAGGAAACATTTAAAAATTACTTCACAAAACTCTAAAGAACTTTTGTACTTTCTGGAAACAGTATTAGTTTTTATTAAAACAGTATTTGTCAAGACAGTATTAAAACAGTATTGGTATTTTTATGTATGTAGTTTCTTAAGGGGATGCTATGCCGTGAGAGAAATTTTTTATAGGAAATTCTGTTTTACCTTTATTGGCGTTTGGTGAATGTAGCGTAAACCATGAAGTTTTAAATGCTGAAAAAACTGTTTTCAACATATCAAAATACAAACGAATAATTACAGAATTAATTTCCCGTTCTGTGTAATTCTATCATAATTAGTTTGCATTTTGATATTTCAAAAGAATTATCAGAATTTGAAACTTGATGGTTTAACTGAACTCTCTTATCTGTGCTTAACCAACTAAGGTGAACAAAAATTGCCATGAAGTGTTTCTCCTGCAGTGTAGCATCCTCTTAATTGTCATCTCTTTTAAGAGTGGCATTTGGAAAGTGCATAAAGCTGTGGCATGTGTATTAATGTACCACCACTAAGATATATCTATGTAAAACACGATAAAAAGACAAATTAAAAAAAAAGGGAGATTAACAAGGAAAATTACGAAAAAATAAGTTTTGTTTATTGCGCATAAGCTGCAAATACATTGAACCCATAAAATAAGATTAAAATACAACAAAGAAAACAAGAAAAAAAATATTTTTAAAGAGAGAGAAAAAATTATTAATAAAACTTATTTATTAATAATTTTTATTCTTCTTAAAATTATATATTTTTCCTTTGCATTTTTATCTTATAAGGGTAAAAAATTTTGCACTGTTTTGATATTTGAAGAAGAATTTCAAGAAGAAAAAGGCACTTGTTTTAAAAAAAAATTAATGACTTTTTTTAAGACAAACTTTTTTTCAGTTAAAATGTTGGTTGCATTTTGAAGTTTAAAAGATATTTAACCTTTTGCTTATGGCTGGTACAACATGGTATACCATTAGAAAAGAGTTAACTAAAGTTTTTGATTTTCCCATTGAATTCTGGGAAAGCTCAAAGTATATGGTTTTCAGGTGATTGATCCTTTTTATTTCAAAATATTGGTGACGAAACTTCTTTTTGGTCACCACAAAGAAAATATTGCAACCAAAGAAAATATCTTTGTTTGCATTTTCTGTTTATGACTGAAATTTTTGTTTTCTTTCGAGTTCTCTACAGATGAATTGCTATAAATAAATCGGCAAATTAAGAAAATTTACAAATTGAGGCTTACATAATGAGTTAAAAATAAATTGAAGGAAAAAACTCCTCTTATATTTTTGTACTGTAATTTTGTTTTAATATAAAAATAAATTAAGTGTAATTTAAAAAAATTAACAATCGCTAATAATTATCTACAGTTTTTTTCTCAGAAGTTTATTTATAAATCGTTCTTAATCAGAATGTTAAGTTATTCAGCTGATTTGGACACAATTTTTTTTTTTTTAAGGCTTAATTTAAACTTTAATTTTGTGTTTGGTAAGCAGGAGTCCTAAAAGTTTCCAAACTTAATAGTTTTTAATCAATTTTAAGATCAGGACAGAAACTAACGTGCTTCCTTCTCCTATGACTCTCCACACGCTAATGGTGAAAGCATGTGAAGTGTTGCCATAGCTAGAGAGTTTTGCTCTACGCCACCTATAGCCCGTTTCGATCGCCAATAAAGATGCTTTTGTTTACAAATACGTGGATAGCAATAAAGGTTTTCGTGGGGTCAAGAACAGGGACCGACACAGTGACGCTATTTTCTCTTATGCGTTAATCATTCGTTTATTTTATCATTTCTCAAAGAGTTCATTTGCATTGATAAATATTAAGTTTATATATTCAGCTATTTATAAGTGCACAAGTTCAGTTTTATGGCCACTTCTTTACATTGGTTAAAAAATTTCATTAAATCCCCATCTACCTACTACTTTTTTTCTAGAAATCAGATAAAATTTTAAAGGATTTTGGAAATCTAATGAACTAAAGTTTTAATATGGGAAATAATATTTATTCAAAAAAAAAAAAAAATTTTTAACTGTTGATTTACTTTTTCAACAATTGTGGCTCAACATCAAGGTATCTTCTTGTGATTCGTCAGTTCCACCATCCGTCTTATTCCCTACAACTGATAAATTTCTGATTCCATCATTCTGGAAGTTATAAGGATATTTTCATCAATTCCCATCCATAACTCGAACGCGTCAGGTTTCAAGGATGTTCTATAATTTCTTCAGTTGCCAGGAAAACTCTTTTGCAAAATCCTGCTTATGCAAAGCAATTTCTGATCATTTTAACAGAAACTCGATGCCATGGAATTACTAAAGAGTTGCACCCTATCAAGAACGTTAGTTTTCTGGGCCAAACGATATAAAATGTCAACCTTTTGTTTCAATGTTAAACTAGTTGGATTTCTGCCATCCATATTGTCCTACTCTCTGTAAGTGAGCAGGACATAAAATGTTGACAAAACCCCTAACTAACGGGTTCGTTTTTCTCCCTTTTGTTTTTATCCTTTCCGCTTTTCCGAGAGGAAGAAAATCACGTTTCATTAACAGCATATCATCTCGCTCCTGTCAACTTGCAGTTGATAAAGGGATGTAAGAGATTGAATTCTAGGTAAAAGATGAATAATTCTGGGAAATTCAAACATTAGGGCAGAGAAAGTAAAGAAAAGGTTCCTTCTCTATACACCGGCCGACTCCGCTAAAACCCACCGAGTACATGCGATATACGTGCTTGTATAATCTGTGGAATTTAAAATCCTGTGGTCGGTCGCAGAACAGTACCATGGGTTCATTAATCTGGAGAAAATTGTCTTCCCTTTCAGATCGATGTCTAAATGGAGGAAGTGGTCCCACAAATGAGATACCCTCTACAGAGGATCCTATCCATGGGTGTTTCCCAGACCGTCGTCAATAGCCCATTGGGCAGCTTTAGTGCGACGTAAATATTATCTACCTTCTGTATATTCAGAATAAATAGATGAAATGAAAATCAATAAAAATACTGATAACATTATATGATGTAATCTTAGTGAAAGCGGTAACTTTAATATTCAAATATGAATAGAGAACCGAGTGAGAACAATAAGCAATTGATGACAAAAACCATGATCACATTAAAGATACACTATAGTGCGGCTTTCAGGAGAACTCCTCCAGACACCCGTCTCGCGTCGTGGCGGGTACTATGGTTACGAGGAAAGGACACTTCGAATGGGGGTGTGAGGAGAATAGTTTTGTCTTAATCTTGGCATAGGTTGTCGTGAGTAAACCAATCGACCCCTTTCCTCCATTTCACCCCCATTAGAAATGTGCTCACGCTTGTTACCATAGTAACAGCCAGCTCCAGACTTTTAATCTGGGGGAGTTCTCCTCAAAGCCGCACTATACTGTATTATTATTTCTTTCTTGTTACTGTTCAAAAAATGAACGTATTTTTTACTGTAAAAAAATTGCACTAGTTAAAAATCACAACTGGCTGTTGATACCACTAATTATTAACTGTTATCTCTGCAAAAAGTAGTCAATAGAAAAATACGCAATCATAAAATTTCATGGCTTGCTTTATTTTTAAATAAAATTTTTTGAAATTTTCGTTTGTTGCAAGATATTTCGCATAAGAACGTGTACCCCAGGGATGAAAGCGAGACGGAAAAGAGGAAAGGCTGGTAGTGAAACCATTTCAGTTATTGTTAGTTTTTGGGAGAATTTTTCTTTAAAATTATTCAAAAATTTCTACTTTATCTTGGAAAAGAAGCAGTTTTACTTATATCTTAAAACTAGAAGAAATCTTGATAGTTACAGATATTTTATTTTTCTCGAAAAAAAAATGCTAAAATGAAATGCATACTTGCGAACATTCATTCTTTTCGAGAATGGATTTTCCAAGTGGTAGTAAAACAATTACCGAAAAACAGTTTTACTCAAAAAGATATTTATATTTTAACCAAGTTGAAATTCGCTGTAGTGATGGCCAATATGCTTTTTATATATTTGTTGTAATTATTTATATATAGTGGGGGTCAAACTCATTTATAATTATTAATATAATTTAAAAACTTTAGAGAAATAACATGAATTTTGCTAGCACTTTAAATATGAAAAAAAAAAAAAAAATCTTCCGGGAAAACCGGAAGAGTTGGCAGGTATTTCGTACCAGTTTTTGCTCTTTTCCGTCTTGCTATATAAGGGCTTTCAGCCTTGGTGTACCCCCGCTAAGCTGTTCCCATACCCCGGGGGGTATGCGTACCACACTTTGGGAAGCACCTGTGCTACATAAATGGAAGTGATGGTTCTTTCAATGATATGTGCTCACCTATGAAGTATGAATTCAACATTATTTCATAAGTTAAATTTATTAATCAAAATTTATAACTACACAGTTAACAACACAATAAATAGATTACAATAAATCATTAAACACATAGTTTAATTCGTCTTTATATGTCATCCGTATGTATTGCTTCATACTTCGTTCAGTTATTTGTCTATACTGGAGGAATATGCCTCCCAATTGAATGAAACGCTCCACTAAATGGCTCATTCAAGTTCTATTTGGCTTTCTCAAAGATGAAGCGTTATTTTTGTTGTTAATTTAAAACATTGACGTTTTCTTACTAAAGTATACGCATGTATTCAAACCAAAGTATTGCGGATACGTCTCTGAATGCATGTTTTCTGAAGTAGTTTACAAAAGGTGAGTGCATGAATAATAGGTCTCTGTAGAAGGATCATATAGGTTCATTGAAATTTTTTTTTTTTAAAAGTTTAAAACCTTTCATTGTATATATATAACCAATACTCCATAATATGTTTGATATTTCGGTTATTTATGTAAAATTATTTAAGCAGAAGGAGAAAATGAAAGTAAAATTTCAGAAATACATCGTTAAATATTTTTCAACCATTTTTTTGATTAAATGAATGGATGCATTTATGAAAAAATTCAAAAGTTGTCAACAATGTTTTCAATTTAAAACAAAATAACCAAATTCAAAGAATACAGAATTATGTTTCTTTGATGATTCACCGTTCACATCAGTTCTTTTGCCAAACTTATAATTTTGCTCATTTTTATCTTAGGCATGCACTAGGAACTCATTTAAACGCTGCTGCTCCTTAACGATTTATTTAAATATCTGATACAAAACCTAAATTTAAGACTATGATTGATAGAACGAGGAAAATATTTTATTCTTCGCATATTAATATTTTATATCAGATCTTAATATTTTAATCATAATGAGTAGTCCTTTGGTAAGGTTAGTATATTCGCTGCTTCTAATGCTATTTATTGAACTTACAAAGTTGGAGTTCCGCCGAAAAATGTTTTCATAGCTGATTTAAGGGATATTTTTGTGAGTTTGAGTTAAACAGACTTTCCAGTATACTCTGTATAAAACGAAAAAGGAAGGGAAGGCGTCAACACGCGTTTGAAGTGCAACTTTTACAACAACATTTTAAAAGATTCACAGCCCCCTCCACTAACTCCGTTTCACATAACTAGTTCATTTATTTCATTTTATTTATTTATTTTAATGGCATGTTAAAAACTGTCCAAAGAAAAAAAAAGTTTTTCTATAGCAGTTAAAATGCTTTGAATTTTTCTAATTTTTTTCAACGTTAAACAATTTTTTTCGGAATGTGATTGAGATCAACTTATCGTAAGGTGGGATCCCACTCAAAAACTTTAAAAAGATCAATTTTTATTATTATTCATATTTTTTTAAAAACAGCTTTTCACCAATATTATTTAGAATGCTCCCTTTATTTCTTGGAACAATTATTTGACCATGTCATTAGATGTTAAGAAAGATTTTTTTGAGATATACATTATCTTTTTTTTTATATTTAACTCGTTTATCTCGGAAGAACTTTCTCTTTTAACACTAGAAAGACAGAAACTTAGTACAGTACAGAACCCGTTATCCGGAAATCAGAAAACCAAAAAACCGGAACGAAATTCATTAAATTTTCCCGCCATTGTTTAAAAAAAATGTTTTTTTCCTCATAAGATTTTAGGATTTTTCTTTCTATTTTGAAAGATGTTTACCTTACCATCATTTTGGAAATAATCATTAGTGTATTACTTCATCGTTTTTTCTTCTTTTTAAAATTATTTCCAAATATATATATTTTTTTAGTTGGGTTTCACAATAAAAAAAACGGCTTTTTGTAGCTATTCAGAAAACCGGAAAAATCAGTTATCCGGAATAGCGATGGTCCCGATCGTTCCGGATAATCGGTTCCCTACTGTATATTTGCCCAAAAGCAGTCAAAATGACTAGATTGTGAAAGAATAACTAATGTGCAAAAAAAAATTTTTTAAATTAATTTTTAAAATTTTTTTAATATTATTTGCAGTTATGTTACAAGTTATTAGTAAATATTAACAATAAAAAAAATCTATATGTTGTATGAAAAGTCACAAAATTCTAAGAAATTGCGTCATTGTATACATCATTGTTTTTCGAATTGAAATTAAAAAGCATTTAAAATGACTTCCTTGGGTAATTTAGTGTTAAGCGTCTTTATCATTTCAATACATTTATTTTAAATATATATAAATAAATTATTTTTAAAAAATATTTAAAAAAAGAAATTAAAAAATAATATAAAAATCTAGGAAAAAATGAAAAGATATAATTTTTTCATCAGCTCACACGATTATATCCGCAAAAAGGAGTGCTGTCTAATATGGTATCAATACAGCCAAAGCAAAATATATCAATACAATAGTGTGAGGAGTACTCAAAGAATATAAATAATAATATTATACTATAGAACTTAAAGAAGTTTATAATTAATAAGGTTGATATTTAATTATTCATATGTTACAAATTTCTGCCTGACCAGAAGAGGGCGTTGTAATCACTCACTCATTATAATTCTGTAAACACTTATGTGGCAGGCAATGGATTGAACTGGCTGGCTCATTGGAGAGCCCCTTTTCGTATCATATATTTTATTGTTTTATTATTAAATTTGTTTGTTATTAAATATGGTTTCTTTAATTAATACACCCATTCACCACTGAATCATTTTGCAACATCATATTAATTATAAAATTCGTTAAATTATTTAGTATAATATTTTTAACTTGCGCACATCCATTTTCGGGCCAATCCTTGGTAACTAACAAATCAAACACGCATTAATACTGCAGTAAGAAAGTGCCAAAAAAACAAATTCCCTCTATATACGTTTTTACCTCCATTTGAGTTTCTGTTTTCATATTTTGTAATCTGGCAATCTTATTACGAAAATATTTTAATCAATCTTGAAGGATTCCGCTACATGTAAGTTCATTTGAATTTGTTTCTCGCGTTATAGATTTCATTTTATTTTCTGTTTTTTGCTTGATATATTTTTTGCATGATGTGTCCTATTTTTTTTTTCAATTTTCTTGAGTGCTCCTGATACTATTGTATTGATGTATTTATCTTTTGACTTTATTGATGCAATATTAGAAAGTATTCCTTTTTGCGGATATAATCGTGTGAGGTGATGAAGAGATTATATCTTTTTATTTTTTTTTTGTTTTCTGGTTTTTTAAATATATATGTATATATATTTTTTTAATTTTTTAAAACTGTTTCATTTTAATANGGGATATTTATTTAAAAAAACGAAACTTTTAGAGAATCGGAGTTTTTGATAAAAAGGCTGAAATTCGAGAGACAAAAAAAATCTCATCCCTGTATAAAGGTCAACCAGTTTTATCCCAAGGAAATGATTTTCAGAGAAACTTCAGAGGGAGGAAAAGGGACTTCAATAATTTCCCTCCGCGGAAAATTAAATTCCTCATAAAACATTTTAACTCGTGCAAAAAAAATTTCAGCGGAAATTAGCGGGAAAAATAGAAAAATCTGAAAAATAGCGGAAATCCGCGAATCCGCGGAAGAATCTCATCCCTGTATCATTTGAATTCGTTTCTCGCGTTATAGATTTCATTTTGCGTTTTGTTTTTTCTTAACATTTTATTTTCTGATTTTTGCTTGATATATTTTTTGCATGATGTGTCTTATTTTTTTTTAATTTTCTTGAGTGCTCCTGATACTATTGTATTGATATATTTATCTTTTGACTTTAATGATACAATATTTGAAAGCATTCCTTTTTGCGGATATATTCGTGTAAGCTGATGAAAAAATTATATCTTTTTTGTTTTCTGGTTTTTATAAATATATATGTATATATATTTTTTTAATTTTTTAAAACTGTTTCATTTTAATAATTTTTCTTCTTTTCTTTTCATTAATTTTATAATTATTTTCCATGTTTTCTCGATATTTTAAATTTATTTTATAAGTTCTATATACTTGCTGCAACTTATGCGCAGTAAATAAAACTTACTAATTTTCTTCGTTTTTTGTCTTTATTGTGCTATATATATGTATATATATATATATATAAAACTCAAATCATTTAAAGATATCTTGAACAGACCATTTCATTTTATATTCAAATTGCAGATCCTTGTAAGACAGTGTAAGCAACCATGTATTGTCTGTTGGCCTTTCAGCTTATTCCGAAATGTTTTTGACTTATAAAGAAGATTTTTTATGAAATGGGTGAAAAAAAGATTTTTAAAAAGCATTACAAAGTGGAATACTTTCAATAATTTGAACATAGAATTAAATAACTTTTTTACTGAAAGTATGAAGAAACTTTAAATGGTTTGAAAAAAAGGATACTATGAGAAGAACTATTTAAGCACTGTATAATGAATGAAGTTTGTGAAAGTTGTAATTTATAAAGCAAAGTATCGCCTGGAATTTTTTCTTTTTCAAAAATAATAAATAAGTTTTAATAAGTTTCTTTCTGCTTTGTTATAGATTCTATGCTTAAAGTATAATAACTTTTGTTTAGGAAAATTATCGTTTGATGCGATGTTTCTCTGCATCGTTTGATAAAAAAACGCAGGAAAACTTCACCTGTCAGCAAACGATTTCTGTTGAAATATTCAAAGCAAACAATCTTTGCTTCAAAGATATTGATGAAAACAATATTTCTGATATTAAATTATAATGCAAGTTTTCGTACTAGTTGCTTCAGAATCGTCGGACGACGTTTTAGGACTAATCAAAATCCTTTTTACGGCATTTTTCAAAGAACGTCTGGTTTTGATGATTTTAATAGGTTTTCCAGGCGTTGTAATCTTCGATTGCTGGCAGCAAACACAGTGACTACTTGAGACTTCAGAGTTATCCTCCCATGCAGTGGTTGGAGGGGGTGCAAACCACGAAGCACTGCTCGCAAATCGCACTCTCCCTCCTGACCTAGGGCGTTCGGGACTTTCGTATGAATCGAACCTGGTTCTCCTTGGACTGTACAGCAGGGAAGGTGCTACAGAAAGAGCCCTCGCTCGAGTCGATCCTAACGTCACTGGTGAATAATATTGGCGATCTGTGTCCGAAATGGGTGGTAAAATGTCAAGAGAAGCTTTTCGTCTGGGAGTGCCTTTGTAATTATTCAGCCAATAGGTTTTCATTTGGCCTTTGCCCTGAAAATATATATATGCATTAAGAATTAATAAACGCAAATATATATATATATATATATATATGTTCAAAATGAAGAATAAAACAAAGAAAAATAATACACAAATGAAAAAAAAAGGGGGGGGGAAATAATAAGTAAAAAAATAACAAACAACAGTTTAAAAGAAAAAAGAAGGATGAAATTTTTTTTAAAAAACCGGAAAAAAAGA